TTCCACCGCCACTCCATTCAAATACCGTGAAATACCCAGTCACACCAGGTATAAGAAAGCATGTGACTCTCTGTCCTTTCTCCTGTGGGACATCCCTGTGTAAGCTCCAACAAGATCAGCCTAGAATTTACACAAAGACTCTTCCCTTTGCTTTTGCAGTAGTAAGGAAGTAAAGTAAAGGTGAACGCAAGAACCTGCGGTGGATGCATGGGCAAAGCAAAGGTTCACTTTAACTGCTCGAGTCTCAGGCATTTCTTTCAGATGGTGCAGGGATAGTGGTTTTTATTTGCCCTAATACCATTTTAAAAAGGCACCCAGACTCAGTGGCTCTTGTGGGCCCCCACTGGCACTAGTGCCTGAACCAAAACAAAATCTCTCAATCACATCCATGGCCCAGCAGTAGGCAAGGAGATAAAACAATCCTGAACTTCGAGTACATCTGCCGATCACTGCATAGGAGCATGATGTAAAAGTGAATGTAAACAGAATTCTTCCACATCATGTTTACATCAGGATGTGTCAAAGTCAATTCCTGCTAGTAGAGGCTTCGGGAAAGCTTTAACAGTTCTCTCAGTGGTTGGGGGTAGGTGGGTATCAGTTTGGGGGTTAGTTGTTAGGGGTAGACAGCCAATAAAGGCCGGCTCATGCCAAAATTTCTGCATTTTGGATGCATTTCTGCTTGAGCATTTTTGATGCATTCTAATGCATTTTCATCTCAATTCAGGACATGTGCGTTCGGCTGCATTTTCCATGTTCCATACAGAAAAAATACAGCATGCTGCTTGTTTGTTCACTGCACTAGAATGCATTGAACTGGTGTGAACTAGTGCAATTGGAAAAAAAATGGAAACCACTGTGCAGGCGTTTTTGATGCAGATTAATTATAGGATGTAGCTGTGGTGAACCACCATTCAAGGCCTATGTGACCCAATTGGTATACATTATTATTATTATACAGTATTTATATGGCGCCAAAGGGTATGCTCAGCGCTGTACAGTAGCAAGGAGGACATAACATGAGACAAGACAGTAACAATACACTACACGAGGGGTTCGAGGGCCCTGCTCTTTCGAGCTTACAATCTAGGAGGGAGGGGAAGGTGGCACAGGAGGAGATGGCTGTGGGGGATGGAGTGGTGGGTGGAGTGGAGTAGGTTAGGTGGAGTCGGGTGTTAGGTGAGGTTGGGGTAGGCTTCCCTGAAGAGGAGGGTTTTCAGGGTGCGCCTGAAGGTGAGGAGGGTAGGTGACATTCTGATGGATTGGGGTAGGGAGTTCTAGAGGATGGCGGAAGTCCTAGAGAAGTCCTGCAATCGGACATGGGAGAAGGAGACCAGGGAGCTAGAGAGCAGGAGGTCCTGTGAGGAGCGGAAGGCACGGGTAGGGTAGTATCTGGGTATCAGGTCAGTAGTGGGTTGGTGAGTGGGTTGTTCAAGTATGTCCTCATTTTATGTAGGTTTGATACATTTAAGGGAAAACAAAGACCAGTAAGAAGTATCTGTTTCTGCTTGAAGGCTTGTGTAGACGGTAGTTGTTGTCTAATACTGAATATGTAGTATTGCACACAATAATGAAAATACATACTCCCAACACAGGGTGGTTACAGTGGGTGCATGACCAAATTCCTATAGTGCCTCATCCTAACATCGACTAAATGGAGATATGACAAAAACCATGGACTTCATAGGCACGGAGCTAATATCCTCAATACATGAAGATTTCCCCACTTAGCAATTGCCGAGACATGGCACATGTGTGATGTTTGGGGTTCTCTGATAGTATTCAATCAACACTTATCTTTTTATATGCGACATTGATATGCTAGATTTTTTGAAGCATTTTTACACATGTGCATGTTTAATAAAGTGTTGAATATTTTAACAAGTTGCTGCAGTGCCTATAAAGTCCATAGTTTTTGTCATATCTCCATTTAGTGCTGCACACATGCATGCTTTAAAATGTGAAACTCAGCAAAATGTTATGTTCCATTGCACTGTAAAGGCATCACAATAGAATGTTGTGTCCAAAGAAATGCAAAGTAGCTCAAACAGAGGCTCAAGGGCACATTTCTGCATATAGTCAATACAAGTGCAGTCTAGGGCAGCATACATAGAAACACAGAATACAAGATCAGTAAATACCATTAAAACATTTTCATGTATAACAAAAGGTTCCAAAATTCCACCCTGCTTGCTTGCACCAACTGGCTGTGTCCTTGATGATATATTGTTGCATTTTTGTTAGAGGAATAACACACTGTATTTTTATATTTCACCTACTTGGAGTCTGTATACCTAGAATGATAAGGCAAGTTTGTCCCACCCCCAGTGGTGTATTTAGGTTTTGTGCTGCCCCAGGCAACACAAAGATCGTTTGCCCCCAAAAACATGAATCAACACCCCCCCTTCCATGGAGAGAGCCCGACATTGACCAACAACAACCCTGCCCCCCCCCCCCAAGCGATAGAGAGAAAGACACTCATCTTCACAGCTCTGGACATCCCCGGGAGCGAGAGTCAGACTCTACATACACCATCAAGCAGCCCACAGCCTCTCTCAGATCCCACCTGGTTCCCATGGCGCTTGTGTCTCTTCTTCTATCCCTTCTTCTGGGGGAAGTACTGCCCCCCTGAAAAATGCCACCCTAGGCAAGTGCCTTGTTTGCCTTGTGGTAAATACGCCCCTGCCCACCCCTCTGATCATCAGCTGTAGGTGTACTGATAAAGAATGGGCAGACTGTCTCCTTCAACATCAGCAGAGAACCTATGTGCATAGTGATACCAAGGGAGGCCAGTCCACTAGAGGATATGAGAAGGGTAGCACAAGAAAACTGGTTTATGTGAAGACAGGAAGGGCAAGTCTGACTTTAATTATGGTCTGCTTTGGTTCCAAGTTAGGAACTACAAAGTCAGCCAAAATAGGCAATATATACATTTTCAGGACTGTGCTGTACAAATATAAGTATTTTGCAGTAAATATAAATGTTTGTTTTACCCGACAAGGCGTGCCTAAAGTTTTGATATGCAAATGAGCCCCAAGGCTACGCTACCAAATAAAAGTATAGTTATGTGACTCATGGCTCTCTGGTGGCTATATGGTTGGCACTGTGGTGACGTATAAGCAAAAGCAAGGGCAGCAGTTGTAGGCCAAGGGAGACCAGAGGTATTGGAGATTCGACAAAAGAGTTGAGAAGATTGCTTTACAATAGGGAAGGGGGGAGAATTTATGGATTCATGAAATACAGCAAAAGTGCATGCTCTGTTTCCAATTTTTACAGGATAGAAGGGTCTCTAGAAATGTAAACTCCCTGCGATTCTGAATGTAAAATCTCCATTCAGAATCATAACAAGCCCAGGAATAAAAGTAAGCACCTTTACTTTGATTATGCGCTGCCTTAGGTCACAATTTCCTATTGGCTAAATGCCAGATTAAAAAAAAAATATAGAAACTCTCCTTATGCACAGTAGAGATGTTATTACCAAATGAGTCATTACCAAGTCATGTGGCATGATTGCTACACTGAAACTTCACATTGCTCTCATTCACGCTGCCCACCCCACCTCATTATTACAAGGTCAACAGTACACTGGTAAATGGTGTTTATAATATTTCCAGAACAGAAGCAGGAAGAGAATGTAAATCAAGTTTTCTAAAATATACTATATGCAATGGGACAGAAAGAAGACGATGACATGTATGTGCATTTCATGTACACATGTACATTTCATGCACGTTCAAATTAGCAGAGAAGTATAGCCAAACCTTTTTTTGGCTACAATCCTCTTTTGGGTCACATTGTCTTTTGTCCACCTGTGACCTGGGGTCAGCTGATAGCAGGCTATTCCCCACTGTAAGCTGACAGGGCAGAGCTGTGCCCGGCTCAGAAAAGATCCAGAAAATATTGTTGGGATCCACCTGCTGTCCGATTGACAGCTGGTTTCAACTTTCAGCTTACAGCTGAGAGCTGGAGTCAGCCATGCCAACCTTCACTGGCCTGGCATTCCAGTGAGCACTGGAACATAGGGAAGAGTGGTGAATGACAGTCACTGCTCTCCACTCAGAGAGGACCGAGAACAGAACGATCAATGGTAATACGATCACTCAGTTCTTGGTTTTAGAGCCAATGTGGGACAGGTATTGCGGCATGAAGGAGAGTATAAATTGATTTTTTTTTTCTGAAAAGCAGTCAACACAGCTCATGGTAAGAATTCAACAATTCATAGTTGTAAACTAGTTTAAGGCAGACCTTGTGACATCTAAGCCCTGTTTCTTTCAGGGAGATGGAGATCAAGGGAGATGGTTGCAAGCTGCTTCATTGTCAGAAGCACCAGATATTTAGTGGTAGTTCTGAAGGAGCAGCAGGGTAAGGCAAGTATAAGGGGGTCAGGGATTTAAATAGATTCAATTGCTGTGCCCTTAATGTGCAAAGTGAGTCTCTAAGTATAGGTCTGCTTAAACATATTGACATTGTATTGTCAGCTGAGCGGACGATCACAAAAAGGTTTAAAAACAGCTTTTGGATAAGACCTGCATATTTGTAATAAACCGTAACATACTGCAGACGTTTATCAAGAACAGTTAGGTGAAAAGAAAATCCCATAACAATTGTACTATAACCATAAAGAAATTTATTTTTCCAGTACATGAATTTCCACAAAACTGCCAGTGATCTGGAAGTTTTTTTTTTTTTTTTTTGCATAAATAGGGCATTGTGGCTGTAAATATTGTCTAACAATCTATTGTTTAAATTAATTCAGTAATTTAAAAGCAGTATATCGGAGTTGTCATTTAATGTGAAGCAAGGCATCACTTGCAACGTAAAACCAGATGATCTGTCAGATCAGACGTAAAAACCGGGGAGCCATTCAAAAAATGACCATGTCATAAGTTTAGTCTCTTTATCCATTTTATTTTACAGGTCTCCTGGCCCAATGGCTAGCAGTTTACAAATGCTGCACTGATGGAAAAGATTTTGTGAGATGTCCATTGTTATGAAGGCATTGTTTACATGTTGTTGAATCCCATCATTCCCTTCATGTTGCCAGCAGCTCCTTGTTGAAATTGTCTCATCATTGACTGAAGGCCTGCCATTCCACCTGTAAACAAAAGAGAGTTAGATCATCTTCGAGAGACCTCCCCTAACCAACCTAAACTGCAGGTAATGACACAGGAAATCAACTATGTAAATTCTTACTTGCAGCATTTTTACATTCCATAATTTTTAATTTTTACTTTTCAATGAGCGTCTGAACTTGCTAGAAAACGTCACTACGATTTCCTAGCACCGCCCCGCTATCTTCTACTGTGTCCAATCACACTCTGTTTGACTAGTTCCCCCAACTCCCTCCAAAACATGACACTGACCTGACACTGCTCACAAAAAAAAAAAATCATTACTTTTTTTTTTTTTTTTTTTTTTTGTTACAGATCCGTATTCCAATTAATAGGCTTAATAAACAGATTGAGTAAGTTTCAATAAATTTCAGAGAGCAATGCATACAATTTAGAAATATATTACATTTGCTGCAATTAAAAGTATCAACTCTACTTACCCATATGCTGTAAAACTCTGGGGTCCATCATTTTTGCCATTTGCTGGTTTAGTTTTGCCATTTGTGAAGGATTTACATTTTTTGACATGTCACCGCCTGTAAACAAAATGGAAAAATGTACAGCAACACAACATGTCCAGCAAATGACAATACAATATATTGACTAGTCTATACATAACAGAACATACAACAGATCAGGGTGGATAAAAATCAATGATTTTTTTTTTTAAAAATCAAAAAAAAAAAATCGGATTTTTTTTATTTAAATCGGATTTGTTTGATTTAAATCGGATTTGTTTGAATAAAATGCTTTTTGAGGAAAATATATTACCATCCAAAGGTTATTCCATCATGAAATAAAGATTAGTTTTTTAATTATGTAGAATAAGGCTGTATATGTTTATTTTTTTTGGTAAATAAATTCCATGAATCCATTCACAATGTCATGCTCTTCCAGAGGTTTTTGTAAGATTATTGGGCAGTTTCTCTGCCTACAAGATATTATCACAGATGCTTGGTTTACTTTTGCAGTTCTCAAAACTGAATTTGACTCAGCAGAGATCACATGCCTCTTCTTCACAGCAAAAATGTTATAACATGAACAGAGTTAAGAAAAAGACCTTAATCCTAACTTCTACAAACCTATGAATACAGAATCAACCCCTTCAGTGCTAAGGTTCAAGAAGTTCAGTGAATAGAATAGAAACAATATTTTTCTGATTGTTTGGAGTGGAATAGATCTGCACAAGAAGAAAGTGAAACTAAGTGTGAGGAGGAAGGGGCTGACCGTCTAAGTTTCTTAAAATATATATATTTTGTTTAGCCAAATTAGTTAACAAACATGGATGTTTAAGCAAATAACATATGCTGGAATGTTATTGTTTCAGTTGAATAAATCTATTTAAATTGTTATTATTAAGGTAATGATTATTTTTCTCCTTCCTAAGTACAACAGAAAAGTTGTCCAAATATGAATGATTAACCTATTAAACTGGGGATAAAAAAACTAATATAAAAAGTTGTTATTCTAAAAATCTTCATCTACTTGAATATTAAAGTTATACCAGCAAGAATTAGTCTTTATGTAGAAAACTAGGATTCAAATCAAGCCTTACTGACTAGTGATTTAAATCGTGATTTAAATCAGTTTGATTTAAATCAAATCCACCCTGCAACAGATCATAATGTATTGATACTTTATGATGAGTCCTGTAATGGCTATGCTATAAAATGTGAACTCTTTTTCTGAATAAAATTCTTTTCTGCATTCTAGGGACTTACCTTTGAATAGTCCCTTGATACCTCCCATTTTTTTAACCATTTGTGCAAACTTTGTATATTGTGCTAGCAGCTCCTGTACGTCTCTTGTAGATACTCCAGAACCTCGGGCCACTCTCTGAATTCTGCCAGGTTGTTTACTGAAGAGTTTGGCACCATCTGTGTTATCAAGTTCTATAAAGAATATGAACAAGAACCATACAATGAGTGATTCATAACCTTCAGGTGTATGCTGCATACTGTGACTAAAACGGGCTTTCTTCCACTATCAAGGGACGGGAACATAAAAAGTCAATGTATGTAGCTTTACATTAAAGACCATCAGGAAAAAAATACAGGAACTGACTGAATACTGAAAGTGCTAGTTGACTGGCTGTTATGATTGCCCACTGGCTTCAGTACTGCCTAGACACTGACCAGAAACAAATAGCTAAATAAATAAATTAGAGAAAAGGCTAGAAGTCCTTGCTTGCATACAATGACAAAGTATGGAAGTAAGAAGGTCATCATGACAGCCAGGCAAGAAGCAGTGGTCAGATAAGGCAGCCTCTATTTTCTCTCATAGCAGATGTCTTTAATGTGTTACTAAACCCAGAACTCTGCATTCACTGTATCTGGTCTCCCACAGTACACACAACATGGAAATGCAATTATTGTAGTAGATATAAACTACTAAATACCTTTTCTCATCAGCAGTTACAGCACTCTTGTGATTTATATCAGTGCCCAGCAGAACACTGGTTAAAGCTTGCAGAAGGAGTTTTCATTTTTCTTTAGGAGGATGCAGAACCCCTGACCTCTGTCTGGATAGTGATTGGCCCTGTGCTGATCACATGAACTCTCAAAAAAAAAGTCGATGACATATCACTACACCAGCCCTGTTGCCAGTGTCATGTGACCGCTGTGACCACTCACAGAAGATTACGTCAATTGTATACAATGGATGGCTTCCTGTCATGCCATCCATTGTATACAATTATGTTAGCTGTGACTGGTCAAGGCAGTCACATGATACAAACAGGGCCAATCACAGCCCATCTGTATCATGTGATCAGCTTTGCCCAATCACAGCTAATCACAACAAAAGACTGAATGAATCAGTTTCATTCAGTAAGGGCTCCTAAACTGACGTTCAGGAGCTGTTCAGCGTTTTTTTTCAGCAGCACCTGAACTCTCCCTAATGTTTTCCTATGTGTCCATGTACACATAGTCATTTACAGTCGTTTTTTTGAATGCACTAAACTTGCATTCAGGAGTAGATTTTACAAGCGTTTCAAAACGTTTGTAAACGCGGTTAATCGCGTTTATAAGCGTTATAATCCAGACCAGATGAATACCTCGAAAAAATAAAACTAAAATAGTGTAATAAAACTAAAATAGTACTTTTAATAAATACGTGCAAAAAACAAAATCAGATTCAAACTGTGAGTAACACGTGAATCGTGCAATCATTCTGTGTACTCTATTAAATAAACAAATTATTACCTCAATAAAATGGGTATATACTTTCACAACCCTAGGGGAAGTGACGTCTGATGTAATTGTGCAAAACCGGAAGTGGCGTTGCGGCCATTTTGACTGTTGGAAAGACATGAATAATGTTCCAGGAAGCTGCTCAGGCTGAGTCATGGGAACTTATTACTGATTGATACTATCCCTAATGTAAGCAATACTATTAAATCTTTGTTACCCACTATACCTTGCTACATCGCTTTACACTAGGATGATAGAGTCATAAGAGCTTACCCTATACACAGCATGGAGGAGTCTTGAAAGTGACTACAACACCTGAGTATTCTTTAAGGCTTGAGATTACGCTATGAGGATAATTGTATGCATTTTTGCCCTATAGAAGTGTTCACGGAGTGTTCACCTTTTCATTTATTTATTATTTTATTTATTGATTGATTTAATTTTATTTATTTTGGTTTTGGAGTGTACACTGTTTGTCACAATAATTTGTTTATTTAATAGAGTACACAGAATGATTGCACGATTCACGTGTTACTCATGGTTTGAATCTGATTTTGTTTTTGCACGTATTTATTAAAAGTACTATTTTAGTTTTATTACACTATTTTATCTGAGGTATTCATCTGGTCTGGATTTATGAAAATATTGAAGTTGGGGAGTGAAAGTTTTTTTGGACTTTAAATACAATTTTTGGGGACTTTATTTTGATATATTTTGACTAAATATATAAGGAATAAGGTTTATAATATTATTTACTTTCAAGGGTGAAAGTGTGACTTTTTCTTTTGGGATTATAAATTTGGGTCATACATTTTGTGCAATATTTATAATTTGGATTGCCGAATAGTAATTAATTTATTGCATAGCCTACATACTTACTATATATGCAGACAATAACAAAGGCTAGTGATGACTTACCCTGGTCATTCATGCTGTCCATTATGGTCATAAGCTTCTTCAGACGAGCCATTGACTCCTGCTCATTGCCCTTACTCATAAAATCTTGTCCAAAGCCAGGAATCATTCCCTGTCAACACAAATGAGAGATCTTTTTCAAGCAGTAGTAAACGCAATACAACTAAGCCACTAGAAGCATAATACCAGAATTAAATGCACTTTTAAACACATAGGGATAATCCAGAGCGTCATGTAATTGTTCTTATATTTTATGCAGTTTATTATCTCTGTAGCTCATTCTGTGTATAGCCGCCGCCATCTTTGTGGAGTCCTCTCACTCTTTTCCCCACCCGAACTTCTGCCCTGAGCAGCAATCTTGCGCATGTGCGGTAAGGTTATACCAAGGCACTGGTGAATTTTCAGCATTCAAGATTACAACATAATGTCGTGGAGTATTGCTGACGGTTACACAGCACATAGCTGTATTGATTGACAGCACACTCAGTGTGCAGTCAATCTGGATACCAAGCGCATGTGCAAGTGACGTAATTGAAACAATGAGTGGGCAATATCTTTTAAACCAGTGTTTCTCATCCTTTTTTCAGTCAAGGCACCCTTTAAAATTATGGACAATCCAGGAGCACCCTTTAAAATTATGGACAGTCCAGAGGCACCCTTTAAAATTATGGACAGTCCAGAGCCACCCTTTAAAATTATGGACAGTCTTGAGGCATCCCATTCTAAAATAGGGTGCCTCAAGACTGTCCATAATTTTAAAAGAGCACCCCATTCTAAAATGTGCAAAACTATTCTAATAGTTTTCTATAACGCAGCAACATCCACACATGTAGGACACCCAACATTAGAGGTGATTTATTCTTCCAAAGCAAATACACTTTTGCACACTGGTACTGAGGATTATTCCAGGGTTTCTCTTCTCCCTCTGTTTTTATCCATCACTGAGCTAATGTGACCCCAGCACTGATGGAGAGGGGCAGGGGAGGGTCAAACAAGGATGCTGTGCAGGCAGCGGACATCCTCCTTATCAACTGATGATGTCATTGGTTGTCAGGACGCTGGCAGTTAGAAGGTCGTAATGGTGCAGAATGAAAACCTGTGGTTTTGTGTAACTAAAAGGCAGGCTTGTTCCACCCGCTGGCTTGTATACAAGTTTTGGGCAATTTTTAGACATTTTGCCAAGGCACCCCTGAAGAAACCTCAAGGCACCCTGGTTGAGAAAGGTTGTTCTAAACAGTGCACCTGAAAGGACTTTTATAGACACCAACTAGTAAGTAATTTTATCCTGGTTTACATGACTTGTCCTGGCGAGTTTACTACCACTTTAACCTCCCTGGCGGTATGATCATGTCAGGAATTTTGTGCTGAAAGCGGTACCATTTTTTTGCATGGAAATATGTAGTTTTTAATTGTAGGCTGTAATTTTTAGGAATAACTCACTGAAATCTATCCGAAAAAGAGTCTATTAAACATTCCGGATATGATAAAACTTGAAACACGAAATCATAAATTATAATTTAATAAATAATCATAAAAAATAATAATATAATAATAAACACGAAATCATAAATTATAATTTAATAAATAATCATAAAAAATAATAATATAATAATAATAAATTTAATTTAATAATATAATCAAACCAAAAACACTGAAATTTGAAATACAGAGGCAAATTCGCACATCGCTGAGCAAAGTCGCAAAATCGTTTTCAGTGTCTGATGACGAATTTCCCCACAAATCATTATCACTCAATTCTGCAAGTGGTTCTGATTTACTATCGCTGTTCTCTAGCTGGTCTAAAACCGCTTTTGATGTAAAGGGACGCTTTTTGGCCGCCATGGACTTTTCTAAGTTTCCAGGCAGAAAGAACAGTCAAAATGCAGGCAGGGCGCTGGACAAAGCAGTAGGGACACAATGTATGTGAAATGCAGTGAAAAAGCAATGACAGCAAAAATGTCATTTTTTAAAAATTTCAAATTTCCCGCAGCCCGAACGTTCCGACGTCACGGGGACCGGAACACGGAAGTCAGATGCCGGCATCCGCCGGAGGAGATGGACGGGGACGCTGCAGGGGACACATCGTGGGAGCGAAGGACAAGGTAAGTGCTGCAGGGACCCCCAGAGAACGCTGCATAGTAAGCCCGAGTGTAGCTCGGGGTTACCGTTCTTGGTATAGAAATTCTACCCCGAGCTACACTCGGGAACACCGCCAAGGAGGTTAAGTACAACACACAAGTGTATATCGACTATCCTACCAAAATAAATTCAAAATCACCATCATGGGGCATAGCCATCTTAACCTAAAGATCAAGAACAGGAAATGCCTTCAGCCTTGATTCACACATATGCGTTATAAAATCTCTTGAGTTTCTCGGTGTGATTCAGCAGTGCGAATCACATCAGATGCGTTTTTGTATGAACAGCAATGTGCTTTTAATACGTTTTACAGCAGATTACAGATATTTCTCTCTTGGAAAAGCAATGAAAAACCCTATACTGAACAGCCTGCCAGGAATAGCCACCAAAAACGCACTGTATTCTGATACTTTCCATTCACCTCTATGAACTGCGATTTAAAAATCGCACAGTCCCAAACTTGCACAGGACCATTTTTTAAAAAATGCACTGCAACTCTACCGTGTCTAAGTGAATGCCCTCATTAAGAACACATTCATTTTGACTTGTCATGCTAATTCAAACTCTTAAAATCGAATCACAAAATGCACCGGGGCTCTGGCACTCTAAAGGCTTATTCACATTGCAGCAGTTCTGACCCCCAGCCCACAGTGGTATTTATACTGCATACTGCAGTAAATGAACAAGTAATGGAGAAAATATTTATTGTTACACTTTAATCACAGACAGAAGTATGAAAATCCATGTAGGCATAGTACTCTTACCAAAATCTGGCTAAAGGGACCCATTTTCATGATATTCTGAAACTGCTCATACATATCTCTCAATGTGAACTGACCTTAAAGGAAAAGAAAAAAAAAAAAAGTATACATCAAATATAATTCACACTACATAACCTTCAGCCCAAATGCAATAACACACACTTTTGCTACCTATAATTCTTACTTTCCAATGCAAACTTTCAGTACTAGTTTTTAACAATACCATTCTACAGAATATGTAAGTACTTCTACAGTGGTTTCTAAATAAACAAGGTGGGATTTTAATAATCCATTTGCAAGACAAAGCAATGCTAAACAAGAGCAGTAAGAAGCATTGTGGAAACAGATTTATTACAAGATTACAGTTTGAGTCAAACCCTTTCCTTGGCTGTGACTTAATGAAACCTGACCCTGACCATTCAAAGCAGAGCTCCACCCAAAAGGGGAAGTTCCGCTTTGAGCCTTTGTCTGCCATTAAGGATTGGCACCTTTGGGGAGCGTGTGTGTGTTGGGGGGGGGGGTATGGAGGAGGTACCCGAATTTGACTGGTACCTTCTCCCACCTCCGCTGCAATCGCCTAGGCGATCGCGGAAGTTGTCCTCTCCCCCCCTCCCTCCAAGTGGTCTTCTGGGACACGTGACAGGTCTCAGAAAACTACGGGGCCATTCACAAAGCGGTTGTCTCGCATGCACAGTGGGTACCCGACTGTGAAGCCACAAGCTGTCACAGCCGGGTGTCCACACTGAAGATGCCGGTGCCAGGGAGAGAAGATGGCCGGGGAAACCAGCGGTGGTGAGGACATCGCTGGACCAAGGAACAGGTAAGTGTCTGTATTTTAAAATTCAGCAGCTACAGTTTTTGTAGCTGCTGACTTTTTTTTTTTTTTTTTTTAAGGTGGAACTCTGCTTTAATGTTGCATGTTTATCGTCTGTATCAAATCTGTGTTTGAGCTGTGCAAAACTGTCACACTTGGCTGCCCAGAAAAACAGGTCTTTAAACCTGAATACGACTTTGCTGAAGGAGACGCAGCCTGATTTGCAGCTACCTGTGTTGCCAATTTGCTTGATAAATGTCCCCCAATGTGTATATAGATCCATCCTCAATGTTAACATGCACGTGTACTTACCGTGTTTCAATTTTTCTATAAGAGCTTCATTATCGTCTAGCTTCAATTCGTTCACTTTATCAATTAGCCCTTCAATGTCTCCCATTCCTAAAACAAACATACACAGATCAGTCATTTCTAAGCCAATAAAAAACATCTGAAGGGATGCAGGGGGTATTACACTGCTATGAAGAACTTTAATGTTCCAATTTAATTAAAACAATTAAAACAAGTTAAACAGCTTATTGTACAAAGTGAACTGATCGCGTAATAATTTTGCAGTCAGCACTTACCGAGGAGTTTGCTGATAAAAGGCTGTGTTTTAAATGGTTCAAAATCATCTATGTGTTCTCCAGTTCCAATGAAAATGATGGGGCTCTTTGTCGCAGCAACCCTGTGGATTGTTGATTTTATATATTTTAAAATGATACAAATTGAACTGCAATATTCTAAAAATGTAGTTTTGTAGTCAACACTGTCATTGGAATTTAGTATGATATATATTCTTCATCTAAGTTTCTTCTAAAAAAACACGTGAAATGCAGTGTTTAACCTTCTCAGTGTAGTTACATAGAATGATCTTTTATCCCTATTTATCCTGCTATGTTAATTACATTGTTAGTTGAATGCAAGTGCATACAGTCATTGCTCAAACGTCCAAAATGTTTTTGGAAAGGTTGTAATAGATTCCCTAGCAGATGGTGCTGCAAGGAACCTCAAAATGTGCGACTTTAAGTTTTGTCTTGTTGGTACATGGTGCCCTCGAGAATTGCAAAAAAGTGTTCCTGACCCCTCCCCATTGTGCTTCATGGTTAACGTACAAGAAGGCACCATGCGTCATGTGTGGTGGACCAGAGTGTTTACTCTGATCTATTCCGTGATCTCTGTTAACCTCGTCAAAAATTTGCACTTTTTAACGACCTGGCAGATGACATCCCCAGACATACCCGATCCCTCATATTTTACATTTTATTAGCTGCGAAGATATGTATTGCGAAATCTTGGAAAACTTATGTGGTGTACATGACCTTAACTAAATATAAGCTTTCTTGGATAATACATAATGAAAAGTTGGCCAGCATTCTATGTGACAAACACGCTAATTTGAGAAAATCTGGAACCCTTGGATTACATGCATACAATCACCTATTTGATCCAAGAGGCCAAAGTAGGGAATTGGATACATGTTGACCCTGGGGGGTTTATTTACTAAAGCTGGAGAGTCCAAAATCAGACTCCCTTCTGCATAGAAACCAATCAGCTTCTAACCTCAGCTTGTTCAATGAAGCTTTGGCAATGAAACCTGGAAGTTGATTGGTTTCTATGCAGAAGGGAGTCTGATTTTGGACTCTCCAGCTTTAGTAAATAAACCCCTCTATGTCTCAGGACCGATGGTTAATTTCTGTGGATTTGTCTCCGTTATTCACTACTGCTAACAGTTTAATGGATGTGATACATGTCTACATTGTCCTATTGTGATGGATATCCCTTTCACTTACTGGTTGGTCCAAATGACCATTTATGTCTATTCCTGTATCCAACCTCAATAAAAATTATTGAAACATAAATGGGTGACTCCTGAGTTAAAGAGTGGAGATCCACTTTAATAAGATGCATTCTAAGCATTAATTAATTAGCTTGAAAAACAGTGCCAATTTAATATGGATTTCATATATAACTGTGACATCTATGCCATTTCACACAAGCCATTAGATGGGTGTGTGTACAGGTTACCAACAGCAGACTTACGCACTAAGAGCTCCTCCTCCTTTTGCATGACCATCCAACTTGGTTACAATGACTGATGCTACATCTACTTTATCCTTAAAGGCTTTGGCTTGGGATTCACAAGCTTGACCAATGGATGCATCCATGACATAGACAATATTATCTGGTTGCTGAAATGCAAATATGAATGGTGTATGCATAGAAGCTGAAAATAGATTTTTTACACTGACTTAATAACAATAAATACGCATTCTCACAGGCAACCTCAGCTTAAAAGAGAAGTGTGGACTTTTTTTCTCCCTATCTATACTTGTCTAGATGGATGCAGCATCGCTCAGATGCTGAATCCGTCCCCCGCCAGCTCTAAGTGTGAGAACTCAGCGATCACATGACTGCTGATCGCCGAGTTCTCACAGCTACTCTGAACAGAGAGTGGCGACTGCCAGTCTCCACTGTCTGCTCTGCCTCCCCAGCACTCACTGGGTGTGGAGGGGGATGGAGCAGCTGGCTCAGGCTCACAGCGGCTCACTGAGAGGCTGAGCTAGGTGCCACTTCAGACTCTGGGGTGGATGCAGACTTTGAAGTCGGGATCTTTCCCCAGTCTGGACCAGCTGAGTGACGTCAGCAGACAGGGAGCTTCAGCTTGCTGTTGGCAGAAAGCAGGTCACAGGAGTGCAAAACGAACTGCACTCTTGTGATCCACAAGAAAGAGCTTTGGCTGTACTTCTCCTTTTAAATGTTTACATGGCTAAAAAAAACACCACCACAAATTGGGTCATACACATATGTCTGACATTCCTCTATGTGCACCCTGACGTTGTCAAACAACCCATTCAGTTTAAAATGGAAGAAAGAAAAGCAAAAAAATTGTGTATATAAAAAAAAATTCTAAATACCTTTTGATCACACACCCTCTGTTCTCAGCTGCATAAAGAGCTTAGAGAGCTGGGGGAGGAAAACAGTAGTACACTGATCTTCCCTGTGAATCGCTGTGCAGGGAAGGGGGGGGGGGGTACGTGTCAGCACAAGTCTGATCATTGGAGGAGAGCAAGCTGAGTTCCAGCACAGCCAAAAAACTGGCCATACTAGTGTGGTCAGTTTTTATTACGAAAACAGGGGGACTGGCAGGAACACCAAGGATTTCACACAAAGGAAGAAATACACAGTGAACAAGATACTTACTACATGGTACAGCAGGCACATATCAAGAATATAAAATATTGCATTGACATATTCTTTAAAGAGGAAGAGATCTAAGAGCAGCAACTCACTCGGTTTTTACACAGATATGGGTATAATATGCGTGTTTTATAACACATATGGTCATATGTGTACATGCGAAGGAGGCAGCGTTATTCTTAACTTGAGGAAAGCAAATGTAATATTTAAAAAAAAAAAAAAATTCTTCTTGCCCCTACCCCAAAAGCCTATTGGCCAAGACTGTTTATTGAGCACAAAGCAAATCAATGTGATTATCTCACAACTAAAATGTACAAAAAAAAAAAAAAAAAAAAAAAAGAGCATAGTGCTGAGCTTTGGTTTACTTTGTAAACAGAATCCCCGCACTGACTACATGCCTAGTATACAGTACATAATGCACGAATACTGATGGTTAAGAAAGGCTTGCTTACTATAGCATTAGAAACTTGAAGCATTTCTTCAAACAATGAATCTTCCTGCTTGTGTCGACCACTTGTGTCTACAATAATGATTTCAAAGTTTTCATTCTTAAATTTCTCAACACCTTCATAAGCAATGTTCACTGGATCCATCTCTGTGTAGCTGTAAGAGAAGACATTTCAATCACATGTAAGATGTTATCGAGATATATATATATATTCATCTCTCTCTCTCTATATATAGATATAGATATATATCTATGTATATATCTATATATATCTATCATACATACACATATAGACAAGAAACCGGAAGAAAAAGTTCAGAGTAATAACTTGCATTCTATATAACCAGAGTAACAGCTAAAATGCCTACTAACATGTATCCCAGCTTCAGAATTTAAAGCTCTTTTGGCTGTACTTCTCCTGGGGATCACAGGAGTGCAGTTTGTTCTGCACTCCTGTGACCCTTTTTCAGCTGAGAGCAGGCTGACCTCACTCAGCCAGTCCAGGATGGGGAAATATCCTGACTTTAAAGTCAGGATCGGCACCTGATGCAGCCTCTCAGCGAGCCGCTGAAGCCAGCCGCTCCCTCCCCCTCCACAGCCCAATTCTCAACTGAGTCTGTCTGAACACCCACCACAAGTATGTAAAGTCAATAGAGCATCTTATCTGTGATGGTCTTGCATCTATATAGAAAAATATAGTCAAAGCCAATTAGTGATTCTTTAAAATACGCATTTCAAAACATTGTTTGAACAGCAGATCTTTTAGGCCTTATACATGCATCTGATTAGGATCATGGTGTAGCAGGGTGAATCTGCAGCAGAAATCACAATGGTGTGCATGATCTGCTGTGGGCAGGAAGCCATCACACTTGCTGCACCACGGCCCTATTGCACCATGTACGGTAAATAAGGCCTGTGTCTATGACTTTCTTGAATTTGGTTTTCACCTTCACTACCTGCAAAATTACTGGTTTTACCATGTAGCTAATTAACCTGTCACAGATTATTTGGGTAGAAAATGGCCAATGACGTATTACACCTTGTTTCTGAAAGCAAGGCTAGTATCAACACACAAATAAGAGTCCATGAATTGGAGTAGATTACTGGATGACGTTAGTCTAATAAGCACCTTACACGGGCAAAAAAGCCTTGACATGTTTCATGCTATGTTGCTTAGTCATAAGGCCATAATTATTGAGCCCTGTGACCAAGCATTGCGGAAAGGTGGGCAAAAGCTGGTGAGTCAGAAGTAAGGAGGGAGTGTGGATGAAAGATGATATGCTGTCAGCAGCACTGTTCATTTGTGTAAATTGGTGTAAAGTTCCATTAATCATCAGGTGTTCAACGTATAATTACAACTGAACTAGTATTGCTGGGAATGCTGTCAGTCACATTGAATGAGACTACGAGTTTTTACACACACCTATACACATTTTTGAAGTATAGGCTGTGCCTACGAGCTGAGCTTTGTAACACAGGATATCTGGAGATTGTGACTACACAGTCAAAAACTGACCCTGTTCTCCATTGACCATCTAGTGGTTTTGTAACACATAACTACTACACTGGAGATCACGTGTAGTAAAATTCCTATTTTGCGTTCACTACAGTCCTGAAAGACATTCTGATTCAGGTATTACTGCTGAATGATGCAAAGCATATAGGAAACATCATACCTGCCATAAAATGGTATTCTGGCTTTTGTAGCATTCTGTTTCAACTGATCGAAGGCTCCTGTAAATGCACAACAATGTATGTGTTAGGTTTACCAACACAGCAGTGTATTATTAAAGAATCTGGCTACAAACATTAATGAAAATACAGAAGATTTATTTTGTCTATTTACTGTTAAGGGGTTATGCACTCTATCTGTAGTGAATTGCCGCTTTCTGCACTGCATAAACACAGGTCACTACTGGGACACATGGAAAATTTGTTTTCTAAGTGTCTCATTCTCACCACAATATCGGTGCATTGCAGTACTTGGTAGTGTCACGTGGCCGTCAGTAGTGTGGGCGGAGCCACGCTGTTTTTAAATTGTGACAGTGGGTGCAGGGAGAAGATCCCCTGCCTGCTATCCCTTGGGGGGTGGGGCGAGGGGGAAATCAAAGATATGAGCTGGAACATATTACAAGTTCCATCCTTTAGGCTGTACATATTATATAATTACAAGCCCATGATGATCTTCCTTTCCAGTGAAATTTTTCATGGAGTATATAATCTTCTTTTTGGACACTTACCAGCTCTAAATGTATCAGCACATATCAAACATGTTTTCCATCCTTTCCTCTGATAATAGTATGCCAGCTGTTAAAAAATAAAAGGTATTGTATTTGTCTGTTAGCTAGTCCACAACTGTCCTCATTACACAATACAGAGATCAGTAGGAACAATTAGCTGCACCAGAACTAAAAGAGCCAAAGCAGTACATTCTACATTACCTTTGAACAGGTGGTTGTTTTCCCACTTCCTTGTAACCCTACAAACATTATGACATTTGGCTTTCCTTTAGTGGGTGTCCATGCCTTTACTCCTGGATCCACCAGCTGTAGGAGACAGAAAACTGGCCATAAGTATCTCATCATTCCAATGTACATTTTTAGCTTAGCAAACCAACATCAGCATAAATCTTCATTTGAAAGAAAGCGATGAAAATTTAGTACACTAAGACATATAATGAGTAGAAGTATGGAGGTCAGGACAGTTTCTGATCTGCATACTTGTTCCTGATTCCTGATAAAATGTGGGTGGGTTAGTATGAGAACATTTAACTAGCAGCTTCAGGAAATCATCAGAAAATCGCTACCCTTCAAATTCGCTCATTACAGTTTTACTTTAAATTGAATCTGCTTATATTTTTACTTACCCAGTTCCTCCACTCTCCTTTATCAACATGGTAATTAAATTTTTGGCTTCCTGAAAATAGACTGTCCTAGGTTAAGCCTACATGTAATGCCAAGCCTCCAGCATTAAAATAACTGAAATTCAAAGAATAAAAGGAGAGGGCCAGGGACGGCTCAAATGGGGAGGGAAAGCTAGGATGCTGGATGTCCTTTAACTTGGAACTGAGACCAGCTTTGTCTGAGCTGAAGCTCACAGTGTGCAGTGAAATTAGACAAATCATTTTCAGTACAGGAGAGGAGCCTGTACAACTGTGCAAGACTGACGACAAGGCCTGGGTTTAAAGTAAAAACACAACATACCTTGACCAGTTCCTTGAAGACAGCATGCTGAATCATTTTCCTCTTATTGAGACCAGATGCCATTTCTTCCAGATCAATTGCAGACCTGCAGAAAAAAATGCGGTGTTACTTCTTAAATGTTTAAGGAAGAAGGGTTGGCACACCAGAGGCACTATTTTCACTCTCACTATGTACTTCCACTCTCACTTTGTAGTTTGTTTTTTAATAAATCTTCCCTCCGTCTAGAACTAGCTATACAATATGCTCTATCCAACATCCATTTGGGATATCCCCTCTGTAGGAAACGTTGGTATATAACGTTGGTATCTGCTGTCGTGCAGCAGATATATCAGCAGTGCAGGTACAGGTTATTGATAAAATTCGGCCATCAAAAAGGGGTAATGATACCTTTTTGCAGTTGTGTAAAAGGGAGGTTATCTGGATATTTCATTTGAATACACGTGTCCCTCAGGGTTTGATTCCTGAATGGGACATTACATATTTTTATGATTAGCAATCAGAATTTGTCCAGTGCCTTCCTTTGGCATTCAGATGTGTGTGTATGTATGTATGTATGTATATATATTACATACACATACACAAATAGCCAAACATTATCGTATTTTCTTTACAGCAGTGCCGGTCCACTTAGTCAAATGCACATGCAGATATCACAGGCACTCAGGAAGCCCTACGGGCAACCAGCTCGCACCCTGCCAACCGATGATGTCATCAGTTGCTAAGGGCCAATTCTGTGGCTTTCTAGGAGGCGCCCAGCTCGCAGTCTTCTCTATATGATGGTAGAAGGCGCTCTTCTGTTGGCACCTGGGGCGGCACACTCCACCAAACTGTGTGTTACACATCGGCACAGCAGGAGCTCGCAGGACCGGGTAAGGGGTCGAGAAGCAGCAGAGGTATGTGCTCAGTCTTCAACCGGCTGCTGATGCAAAGCTTAACCCTACAGTCAGCCATATGCCCTTGAAGTTCACTAACCTCACTCCTTATTCAGCTAGCCTTGTGGCTTTATAGTGGAAGAATGGTCCTGTCCTGGGGTTCTGGTGAAAGGAAAGCAGGGAACAGAGAGGATCAAAAGGGAGGGTGGGGGTTTGCTTGCAGAGAGAGTGAGGTACAGAGGTGAGCAATGAGGGGGTTTGGGGCACAGAGGTTAGCAAAGACAGGTATAGGGGTACAGAGGTGAACAGAGAGGGGGGTTTGGGGTAGAGGTGAGCAGACAGGGGTTTTTGGGGTACAAAGATGAGCGGGGGGGTGTTAGGGGTATAAAGGTGAGTAGAGAGAGGTTGGAGTACAAAGGGGAGCAGAGAGTGGGAGTTGGGGTACAGAGGTGAGCAAAGAATGGGGAGTTTGGGGTATAGAGGTGAACATAGTGAAGGTTTTACAGTACAGAGGTAAACGGGGGGTTAGGGTTTTGTGGTAAAAATGTGAGCGGGGGCGTTAGGGGTTAAAAGGTGAGCAGAGAAGGGGGTTTGGGGTACAGAGGTGAGCAGGAAATTTGTGGTACAGAGGTGATTGGGGCATTAGGGGTTCAGAGGTGAGCAGACAGGGAGTTCTAGTAAAGAGTTGAGCAGAAAGGGGGTTTTGTGATACAGAGGTGAGTAGAGGGGGTTTGGGGTGCGGAGGTGAGCACAGAGGGGGTTTAGGATGTGGAGGTGAGCAGAGAGAGGGTTTGGAGTGTGGAGGTGAGCACCCCAAAATGGAGGTTCACATCTGTACTGCTGCATGCAGGCCAGTCCATTCATTTCAGTGAGCTTCCCTAACCGCAGAAACACAGGGCAAGAAATCTAAATTTTTTTGCTGCAAAGCTGCAAACACGCTGCATTTGCCAATGTGTGGGGGTACCATTAAAAATTAAGGACACCCCTGTGCATCTGCTAAGGAGTAGCATGTTTGTCTGTTTGTCGGAAACACGCACGATTTTGATACACAGTAATGTGAACCAAGCCTTAAACTGGGGTGCCTCAAGGCTGAAAATACTTTTCAAGGGCGCCCTGATGGGAAAAGGTTGAGGAACACTGGGATATAGTCAGCAATTCTTTTCTAATCTGTATTAGAAATGAAATGTTTTGTCTGAAGATTTTTTTAGAATCTGTTTGAAATGTTTTTCTTTGTATAAAATCTTCACATTGCAATAATAATAATAATAACATTATAAGGTGGCTTTCATGACACTCATCTTGCACACTACGTTTGGTATGAAGCAGAACAAACGTTCCATGTCTGTGTTAAGAACACACTTACTTGACATTTTCTCTTAGTTGCTTTACAAGCTTAATGTTAACATCTGCTTCCAGTAGGGCTGTACAGACTTCTTTCAGCATAGCACTGAGCACCTGCAGAGAAAACAGATAAAGATGGTCCTTATGAATGTCAGCTCACAATGCTTACTGGAACAATGCCATAAATAGCTGACCGACTCGCACTCTATGCAATTCACTAGAATACCTCATTCAGAAGAATATAGGGAAAGGAGGATTAAGGTGAATTTGAACTGCCTAAAATATTTCCAAGGTAGCAACACTGACATGTAGACACCACACTTGTGTTATTCTTCAAATCAAACCCCGTGTCGCTTTGGACCCTTGCTGATCTATGGCCCAGGTTGTGCATTGGGCTTCATCCGCCACTCAAGCCAAAATCAAGCCCATACCCTTTTTATCAAATGCCAATACTTCAGCAGGATGAAGATGCTCTGGGCTTAGTGGTTGGAAGGGGGAAGAGCTTAACCACAACTTGAAAAGTCAAGGCCCCATATGTAGTGTCTGGGCTCAGGATCCATGGGACCCTACAAGGAGAAAGGTATCCATCCCACGATTTACACAGAAACTTGGTGGTTCCATAAGGTCCTGCACTCCAGTACTGTTGTCAGCTTGGAAAGATTTAGGCTAGGTCAGATTCACATTAAAATGTTTAGAGTCTTAGACACATAGAAGAACTGTTCCTCTGTAATTAATAATTTAAGCACTTATAGGAGTAGTTAAATCAGAACTACGGGCAGAATTTTATATATATATATATATACACACATACATACAAACACTTATACTTCCATACCTGTAAACAATTTATTGGTGTTATAGTGCACAGTCCCCTTGCTAGTCAGAAATCCAGCCTTGTTTGCTCTATGATGAGCCCTCTGTTCCCCTTACATCCTATTCATAAGACCGGTGGCCGCTGTGTCCTCTATACCCTGGCTACCGGTCTTGTACACTCCCCCCCGTAGTTCTAGTAAAGCAAGCAGTGACGTGATTATATCACCGTTCGTTGCAGTGGGTGGATTGGAGCGTCTCAGACTCCTGGTCTGATCTGCCCACTGTGCAGCATAGATTGACACTGATCCATTCCAAACATGCCCACAGTTCCACTCACAGTGCCGATCACTTGGACTGTAGTTGTTAGCAATGCGAGCGGTGCTGTGAATGGGCGGCACTGTGAGTGTGTTTGGAATGTATCAGTGTCAATCTATGCTGCACAGTGGGGGAATCAGACCAGGAGTCTGAGATGTGGTTACACCACTCACTGCAGGGGCATGGTTGGGATGTGAGCCAGAAAGGAAGCTCCTCTCTCACTGTCATCCTGTCTTTAAAGGGCCTAATCTCACTGATCCGGAGTACTGGGGGGTATGTGGTGTGGGGGGACTGTGTAAAGAAGTGACTCAGGCAGCAATCATATCCACTAAGACATCAGAGAAGGCATCAGCGGACCCAGAGAGCAGCTAAAGAGCAACAGATCTCCTCTCATGGCCGCTACAGCTCCTGTAGATGTACCCGAGGCAGGCTCCTAGCCCAGAACATCAGAGCCTTCACACCGCTCACTGCAGTGGGCAAATCCCAGAGTCTCAGATTCCCAGTCTGATCTGCCTACTGTGCAGCATAGATTGACAGGCCAGGCAACCTATCTATTCCAAATATGTCCATAGTCCCGTTCACAGTGCCGCCCATTCAGACTCCATATCCCAGGGCATGATGGGATTTGTAGTCTTAAGAAGCCATAACACGCACTCACAGGATGTGATGTTGTTGATTCAAATATACCTCCTCCAAGAGGCCAGGGAAAGAGAAAAATTTCTTACGAAGAGATTAATGCAGGCCATAGATGGGTCGAAATCGGCCAATTTTTCGGCCGAAAATAAAATTGCCCAATTTTCGGATCGTTAGTGGGTTAATAGGTCGGCTGTTTTTCGGTATTTTGGCAGATTTTTTTTATTGGTAAAGTTGGAAAAAAAATCGGCCGATTTTCGCGGCAATGATGGGCAAATCGGCCGATCTTTTTACCGATAAAAAATCTGCGCATGAGCAGTGACCTGCAAGAGGAGGACAAAAAGAAGAGGAAGAGGATGATGAAGAAGAAGAAGAAGAGGATGATGAAGAAGAAGAAGAAGAAGAGGATGATGAAGAAGAAGAAGAAGAGAGATGATGAAGAAGAAGAAGAGGATGAAGAAGAAGAAGAAGAAGAAGAGGATGAAGAAGAAGAAGAAGAAGAAGAGGAGGAGGAAGAGGAAAGAAGAAGAGAGAGGAGGAAGAGGAGGAGGAAGAGGAAGAAGAAGAGGAAGAGGAGGAAGAAGAAGAATTCCAGTCCGGCAAAAAGTGTCCCTGCAGAGAGCTCCACTATTTCTTTGACATTTATAGCGGCTGCAACATTGTATCTATTTGTTTCCAAATAAAAACATCTGTATCCGAAATGGATACAAATGGATACAATGTTGCAGCCGCTATAATTGTCAAAGAACTGTCAAAGAAATGGCGGAGCTCTCTGCAGAGACACTTTTTGCCGGCTGTAGACGGGATGACAATCGGCCGATTTTTTTTTACCGTTCCTGGTAACGTCGGCCGATTGAACGACCGATTTTTTGTTTTTTTAAAGAAAAATCGGACGGTTTTCTCCCCATCTATGGCCTGCATAAGTTACAGCTTTTTAAAACTGAGTTTTATGTATAGTGTGCATTTTTATTCAAAATCACAATGCATATCTACTTACATAGAACTAGTGTGCAGTTTTTTATCATCATCCTGGAGTTCTTCTTTAATCAGTTATGACAATAACAAAAGCATTTTCTTAATCCAGTGAGTAAATAAACCATGGATAAAAGTGGGCGCATTGACCAAACTAAACACTCGAATTCCTTGTTTCCACAGAATAAAAGACAAAACCCTTTTTGGGTTTTTTTTTAACCAATTCCTCAATTCTTTATAAAAGCCACTTTTATACAGAAAAACCATATGTCAAACAACAAAGTCTTTGGAACTCACCAGAGATATTTGATTATAAGCAATTGATATATATAAAAATTACAATTTTAACAGATCTTAAAACATTATTTTAAAATACATTGAATGCATTGCTTTTCTTTTGTCATTAGCTCAACTTTCACCCCAGTGTATACACTGACTTAATAAAAAGAGGGATATATTTTCAGTGCAACCAATCAGAACTTACTAGGCTGAAGCCAGAACAATACACGATAGGTTCTGATTGGTTGTTATGAACTACCGTGACAAAGAATTCACACTCGACATACTGGTAAAAGACTATCCAGCAGGAAATGATAGTAGGGATAGTCAAACTAACGTAGACATAGAAGACAATTGATTCCTCCTAGCAGTGTGGTAAATTTAATATATGTGCTTCTATTTGCTGCAGTAATAAAGGTTGACAACAGCTGGGCACAATAACTACTATACTTGCCTACTGGGATTTTCTGGTGAAGAAAAAAAAAAATACCAAAACAATACAGGACAAATATTATATTAGGTAAATCTCACCTCCTCATTAATGATTGTGGCATTGCTCAAAGAGCGTAGCGCCGATGTGATCTTCCGCCCAAGGTCTGCTAAAACCATTTTGACTCTTTTCTGTAACTCACTTTACCCTACAACACAATACACATAAAGCAAAAATGAGTATATTGGGGCTTTCCTTAAGAAAACACAATTTCCAAAGTCAGGGTCTGAGGAAATATTTTCCGGCTGTTACAGTTTACAGATTAATGAAGGAAAACAATGACGGTAATGCAGATCTTACCTTCACAAACAAATCAGCAATGGACTCTATAGTGAGTGTTTTTTACCTTTCTTCCTATGACACGTGTGGTCTTTGAAAAGATTATCGGATGCAGCTGTGACTTTTTGCAACAACTGTTATTGTTAGGGTTATGTCACACTAGCAACTTTGTAGCAGAGATCTGTAGCAGCTACAAGTGTCTCTGTTTTCTCTGGTGACTTGTAGCTGAATACAGAGCTGCTGCTATAACTGGCTACAATTCTTCTCTAGGTAGCTACAGATTACTGGTGTATCATGGTCATCAGCAGCCATCAGATAATGGGATTACCTACTGAAGCTGGCGATTCTGTCACTTGTTCCAAATGCTGCAAAACGTCAATCATCCTGTGATCAGACATTCCACGCAATTCATAACCTAGTTACTTTCATTGACTGCAATTCATGTATTTGTAGCAACAGAAACAAAAAGCAATCTGCCCTCCTTTTCTCACTGAGAATGGAATGATTTCTGATTGGCCACAAACTAATTGGTGTTCTAGAAACAAATCTGCAACCAATCCTGCATTCACATTAGTTACTTTGGGTATCCTCGCTACAACCTATTTTTCTCAAGCAATACTAGAATCAGTTACACCTATCAAAAGTCAGAAATTGCAGGGCTAGAATGAAACCAATCATACTGTGCACAGCAAGGGTGCTCAAGCTGTGGCTGCGACCTCATGCTCTGGGATGATGGGTCAGCAAGCCCAGATCGTGATCAATGGGTGACCCGCCATCCCAGAACATCAGAGTGCATGGAGATGGCATCAGCAGCGGAGGAAGCAGGGGCTGCTGCATAAGTCCATGCTTCCTCTGTAGCACTGGCTCCTGTCCCAGGAGGAACGATACCAAGTCCACTTTGCCCGGGACCTTTCTAGCAGCCTGGAGAGCGATTCCAGCAGAAGCTAGAAGAGGAAAAGGTCAGTGTATTACACATCAAACACACTGCACAGTTACATTAGGCAGAAAGGTTATTTGGCTGCACACTGATCCACAGGTGCACTAGCGGATTTCCTGCAGGTTAGCTGTACTGAGTCATAGACTTCTATAATATATAGCGGGTTTGGTACGCTTTCTGAAAGCACACCAAAATTCCTGCATACCTGCAAGATATAATAGACGTCTATGGCAAAAAACAGCTAACCTGCAGGAAATCCATAGGTGCAATGTGCTGCACAAATGGTGGGGATAAACCGCAGCACATCAGTGTGAAAGCAGCCTTATAGGGGGCACAGAACAGTAAGGCTCACATTTGTGGTTTGGGAAGGGGGGGTGGGCAGTAAAACCCCATAGTTGAGACGTGTTTTTACCACATACCCCCAACCACTGGTGCAGCATCAGAGGTTGCAATGGCAAACCCTCCCTGTCACATTCTGTTTTACACTTGGAAAGCATATGACAGCTGGCTTCTCCATGATGACAGCTGGCTTCTCCTCCTCTCTCCCACCAGTATTTAGCAGCTGCAGGAGGAAAATGTACATTATACTATTCAATGAAAAATAAATAAATTCTGAACTATTTAATTTCATTGTGGCCTGTGACCCATTACCAAATCACTTAAGTGGCCCTCACTTTTCAAAAGGTTGAGCACCCCTGATGTACAGGATATTTCCAAGTAATAAGACTTTAAAAGTCTTATTGTGAATGGTGTATTGTTTACGGTGCAAAAGGTCTTCGGACCAGAAAGATTTTCTGAAAAGATTGTCTAACTATTTCTTTCTCACTAAGTCAGACAACAATCTTTTCACAGTGTGCATTGCAAAATGAAGGATCAGCAGTGGTGCCAAACACACTGGAATTGCTTTGAGGCTAAGATGATCTTGCAGCCTTTGACACTTACCAGTGTTATGATTTTGTTCCATTAAAAAAATGATTTTTTTTAAATTGAAAAATAAAAAAAATACAACAAGGTGTACAGTGTAAAAATATAAATACAAATCTGGAAGACAAAGTTACCAACTGTCCCTGATCTCCAAGGAAAGTTCCAAGCAATGAAAATAACTGTCAGCTAACCAAACAATTGCCTACAACTATTGATGTTCTTTAAAATTCTTTAATAAAATGTATGACAGAATACACTGAAGTGCAAAGGCACTATAAATGAATCCATACCCCATAGAGAAAGCAACAACATGCTGGAAAATCGGAAAAAGACAGTTCTGAATACTTCAGCACTAGCCAGAGCTTATCACTATCCAAGGCTCTAGTATACAGCTCAGTTACTAAAATAATTACTCAAATCTAGTACACCACTAGTGGGAAATGTCCCATGGGGGTTTATTTACTAAAGCTGCAGAGTCCAAAATCAGACTCACTTCTGCATAGAAACCAATCAGCTTCCAGGTTTCATTGCCAAAGCTTCATTGAACAAGCTGAGGTTAGAAGCTGATTGGTTTCTATGCAGAAGGGAGTCTGATTTTGGACTCTCCAGCTTTAGTAAATAAACCCCATGGTGTCGGTCTAAAGCCAGCCATAGACAGAGCAATCAGAGAAAACCGCTCAATTCCCTTGATCAACACATTCAGCATTGATGGGGGGAATCCCTCCCATGGAGCCATTGTGTTCTACCAGTGGGAGAAACGGTCCCCATTGTGTGAACAGAGCGATTACTGCTAGCGGCTATATTAGAATTGCATGTAAAATCTGACAGCCCAGTCATACCCAGGTTGATTGACTGATGAACTTGGGTACATTTAGCCTGCCTATACATGGTTTGAATCTTGGCCAGTCCCTGCTGAACCAGCCGAGGTTTGAACCGTCTATGGTCAGCTTAAGGATGACTATATACTGGATTATACAATCTTCTTTAGAGTCAACCTTCAGACACAGCTGATCACAGATCGTGGTAAAGGGACAATCGCAACAGCCCTTCACCATGTGATCAGCTGTGTCCTATCACAGCTGGTTACATGTAAACAGACTTGCTGGTTATCGGTATTCCTCTCCTCACACACTGTGTCTCTGTGTGAGGAAAAGAGTCGATAACAGTGAGTACATTGTTTTACACTTATCATCAGTGCCCTGATTATCACTGCAACCTAATCTGTGCCAAGCAGTGCAGGTTATCTGCACCCATCAGAGCGGCCTCATTGGCGCCCATCAGTAAAGAAGAAAAAATACTTATTTGCAAAATTTTATAACAGAAACCAAGAAAAACAAATTTTTTCCCCCAAAATTTCTCCCTATTTTTAAAAACATGATAAAAATGTAATTTGGGTACAGTGTTGCATGACCGCGCAATTGTCATTCAAGGTGTGACAGCACTGAAATCTGAACACTGGCTTGGACAGGAAGGGGATGAACGTGCCCAGTATTGAAGTGGTTAAGATATCCAAAGCTGAAATGTTCAGTTTTGGATAGAGTAGGGTGGGGTTTAGGTAGAACCGTAGGCAGTGTTTTTTTTTTTTTTTTTTACGTTTTGGATAGAGTGGAGAGGGATTAGAACCCCTGTCAGGTTTTACTGCTGTCTGTGCCAGTTAGGGACAGTCACCCTATCTGACCGTTATCACTAAAAGAAAATCCTAGATTTATAATTTTGTCATCAGAATGGGACTAAAGGAGATATTTTCCAACAAGCACACTAAATCTGGGGACACTCTGGGATTCCCTCACTGTGGAGGAATTCCCTCTTGCTTCCTGTTTTGGTTATAAGACAGGAAGTGAAAGAAAATCTCCCCAATGGGAAAACTGACAGGGTTTATAACCCTCCCCTACTCTATCCAAAAAGAAAATAAAAGATTTGTCCATAATGTTTTTTTGCCTGTATCCTATAGGGGAGAATTCTATTCACTTCCTGTTCCACAAACACCACAGGAAGTGAAAGGAAATCAATTTCCCTCTCAAACTGTTGTCACTGCAACAGGTGCCTCGATTGAAGATTTCCCCTCCACGTCTGCTGCGGTGACAACTATACAATTCTGGTTGACCCATGACCCTGTCTCTGTGACAATGATCTGCAGGACCAATCAGGAGGAGGAATGAGGGGGCCCATGACCCTGTCTCTGTGACAATGATCAGCAGGACCAATCAGGAGGAGGAATGAGGGGGCCCATGACCCTGTACCTGTGACAATGATCAGCAGGACCAATCAGGAAGAGGAATGAAGGGGGCCCATGACAATGATCAGCAGGACCAATCAGGAGGAGGAATGAGGGGGCCCATGACCCTGTCTCTGTGACAATGATCAGCAGGATCAATCAGGAGGAGGAATGAGGGGGCTCATGACACTGTCTCTGTGACAATGATCAGCAGGACCAATCAAGAGGAGGAATGAGGGGGCCCATGACCCTGCCTCTGTGACAATGATCAGCAGGACCAATCAGGAAGAGGAATGAGTTGGCCCATGACACTGTCTCTGTGACAATGATCAGCAGGACCAATCAGGAGGAGGAATGAGGGGGCCCATGACCCTGTCTCTGTGACAATGATCAGCAGGACCAATCAGGAGGAGGAATGAAGGGGCCCATGACAACGATCAGCAGTACCAATCAGGAGGAGGAATGAGGGGGCCCATGACCCTGTCTCTGTGACAATGATCAGCAGGACCAATCAGGAGGAGGAATGAAGGGGGCCCATGACAACAATCAGCAGTACCAATCAGGAGGAGGAATGAGGGGGCCCATGACCCTGTCTCTGTGACAATGATCAGCAGGACCAATCAGGAGGAGGAATGAGGGGCCCATGACCCTGTCTCTGTGACAATGATCAGCAGGACCAATCAGGAGGAGGAATGAGGGGGCCCATGACCCTGTCTCTCTGACAATGATCAGCAGGACCAATCAGGAGGAATGAGGGGGCCCATGACCCTGTCTCTCTGACAATGATCAGCAGGACCAATCAAGAGGAATGAGGGGGCCCATGACCCTGTCTCTGTGGCAATGATCAGCAGGACCAATCAGGAGGAGGAATGAGGGGGCCCATGACCCTGTCTCTCTGACAATGATCAGCAGGACCAATCGAGGAATGAGGGGGCCCATGACCCTGTCTCTCTGACAATGATCAGCAGGACCAATCAAGAGGAATGAGGGGGCCCATGACCCTGTCTCTGTGGCAATGATCAGCAGGACCAATCAGGAGGAGGAATGAGGGGGCCCATGACCCTGTCTCTGTGACAATGATCAGCAGGACCAATCAGGAGGAGGAATGGGGGGCCCAGAAAACCATACGCCTTCGCAGAACCCCTCCACCCCCTACTACACCGATTCGGGTTCAGGCACAGGTGTCTGATGGTGCCAGGCTCAGCAGTAGTGCAGACATGATGGTGTCCTCCATCCCGGACTCTCCAGGGTCCTCTGACACTTGAGGCTCCCCAGCAGCTGGGAATGACCAGGCGGTCAGAACAGTCCATATTACCCAGAGAAGTCTCCTCAGCCCCCGGCGGGACCGCTCAGCCCGGAGCCTCTCCTCCCTCCTCCGCTGGGGAAATCCGGTGACCCCCTTCTACAGGAACCCCAGCACAAACGAGATCCCCAACAGCAGTAATAACTTCCGCTCCCTAGGAAACGTCACCATTTCCAGGTAACCTCTGACCCTACTCCGCTATCTCTTTCCGGACCCGCGTCCTTACCATAGATGCTAGGCTAGCCGACCGACTGGCTAGAGGGCAGTCCTTCCTGCCATAGTCTCGATGGTGTAGACGCCATCTTGGTACACCCAGAGAGGTAAAAGCGTGTATAGACGTAGAGGTGTAATATGGATCTACAGCAGGCTCAGCGAGCTGTAATCAACCTGCTGACCCAGGTGTCTCCGGACGTCCTGCCCAGGGCTATCCAGTGGATGAGACACAGCAGTAAGCAGACAGAGTTCATTGCTGGGAGAGCCCTGTGTTTATGTTGTGGTTTCCTATTTCTTCTCTTATTATTGCAATGTTTGACTTGGGGCTCTCCCAGCACAATCTCTGCATTCACTCTGCATTTTTGGAATTGTTTTTTTTCATGTATTTTTCTTACTACTTTGAGTTTACATGTGTCTGTGTACGTTTGCAGCGCTTTTGAGTGGGTCCGTGTGCGTTTTGGTGCAGAAGAATGCAGCATGCTGACGATTTATTAAATGAACATGAAATCACTCCAGCGGTGCAAACACTGCTCCTTGAGAAATGTTCATTTTTCTTGCATGTGCATTTGTGCTGCGTTTAAAAATGCACCCGACTGAATTTGGCCCTAAGGGCTGAGTCACACCATGTCTACATCTGAATGCGTTTCTGTGCGATTCATGCTGCATGCAAAACACACTACATTTGTGATCTGCAGTGGATGGTAATAAAAAGTTAATGCTACCCCAAACACAGGTCATGTATGCAGTGCATTTGCTCGCACAGGATCGCAGAGTACTTTTGTACCATCCAAACGTTCGTACCATGTGATTCTGTTGTAGCTGTTTTAAAAAGTACATGTACTACTTTTGTTGCAGTGTGATTTTGGGCTGAAATCGCACAGAACTGCATGAGAATCGCACAGCATGTTCCTGTGTGATTCAAATGCGGGCATGACCCTAAGAGCAGGGTCACACTGGTGCACTGTGGTTTGGGTGCAGGGTGATTTACAGTTAGGTTCATATATATATTTGGACACAGGCACAATTTTAGTTTTTTTTCTTTTCAGGTATAGACCAAAACATATTCAAGCTATAGTTATATAATGGATATGGCCTGAAAGTGCACACTCTCAGGTTTAATTTGAGGGTATGTACATCCAAATTGGAGGAAGGGATTAGGAATTACAGCTCTTAAGAGTAGCCATCCCCCCTTTTTTCAAGGGACCTAAAGTAATTCCTAGATTGTAAGCTCCCAGGATCAGGGCCCTCCTATCCCTCTTGTATTGAACTGTATTGTCTCCTGTTATATTATAAAGCGCTGAGCAAACTGTTGGCGCTATATAAATCCTGTATTATAATAATTGGACAATTGAATCAAAAGCTGTTTCATGGCCAGGTGTGGGCTACTCTTTCGTTATTTCTTCATCAGTTAAGCAGGTAAAAGGTCTGGTGTTGATTTTAAGTGTGGTATTTTCATTTGAAATCTATTGCTGTGAACCTACATCATGCGTTCAGAGGAATTGTCCATGCAAGTGAAACAGGGCATTGTAAGGCTTCAAAAACAAAACAAATCCATCAGAGAGATCGCAGGAACATTAGAAGTGGCCATATCAACAGTTTGGTACATTCTGAGGAAAGAAGAATGCACTGGTGAGCTCAGCAATATAAAGAGGCATGGATGTCCATGGAAAACAACAGTGGTGGATGATCGCAGGATCCTCTCTATGCTAAAGAAAAACGTATTCACAACATCCAGACAAGTGAAGGACACTCTCCAGGAGGTGGGCGTATCAATGTCAGTCTACAATCAAGAGAAGACTTTACAAGAGGAAATACAGAGGGTTCACCACAAAGTGCAGACCATTCATAAGCCTAAAGAATAGAAAAGCCAGATTAGACTTTGCCAAAAAACATCTAAAAAGCCAGACCAGTTCAGGAAAAGCATTCTTTGGATGGATGAAACGAAGATTCATTTGAACCAGAATAAAAGTGTGGAGAGGGCTTGGAACAGGTCATGAGCCATAGCAAACAGCGCCATCTGTAAAACATGGTGGAGGCAGTGTGATGGCATGGGCATGCATGGCTTCCTGTGGCACTGGGTCATTGGTGTTTATTGATGTGACAGAAGCAGCCGGATGAATTCTGCAGTGTTTAGAGATATACTGTCAGCCCAGATTCAGCTAAATGCAGCAAAGTTTATTGGACAGCACTTCACAGTACAGATGGACAAGGATCCAAAACACACTGCAAAAGCAACCCAGGAGCTTTTGAAGGAAAAGTAGAATATTCTGCATTGGCTGAGCCAATCACCTGATCTTAACCCAATTGAGCATTCATTTCACTTGCTGATGGCAAACCTAAAGGCACAAAGACCCACAAACAAAGAACAACTGAAGACAGCTGCAGTTAGAGCCTGGCAAAGCATAGAAAGGAGGAAACCCAGTCTCCGGTAATGTCCACGGGTTCCAGACTTCCGGCAGTCATTGTCCGTTAAGGATTCTCAACAAAATATTAAAAAGGAACATTTTATTTATGATTATATTCATTTGTCTAATTACTTTTGGTCCCTTGAAAAAGAGGGGATGACTACTCTTAAAAGCTGTATTTCCTAAACCCTTCCTCCAATTTGGATGTACATACCCTCAAATTAAGCCTGACATTGTACACTTTCAGCCTAAAATTGTGCCTGTGTCCAAATATATATGGACCTAATTGTATACGTGCTTTACACCTGGTTTTTGGTGTGCTCTTTCTGACTTCTTTTAGACCATGCATTTTCAGCTAAGCAAAATTAAAAATCTTCAAGTACTGTATCTGCTGATTTTTAATAAAGAAAGATACTTGCCAGTCAACAGAGTCCACTGTTGTCTTCTCCACAGATGACTCTTCTTCAGCTCTGCAGATTCCCGATGCCACCATCTTTGATTTTGGATTTGCCTGTGACTTCCATGATGAGTCACTGCCGGCTTGCCACTGCACAGGCATAGGCTCGATCAGCACAGGGAGACTAATCCTGCAGCCTTCTGGGATGTGTGACATTATCCCAGGAGGTTGGCAGGTTAGTGACATCATCCTCACCTAGGTGAGAAACGTGAATGCAGGTGATGACTGCAGAAGTATGTGCTCTGCCCCCCTTCTCCCCCACAAAATGCTATTTAGAGGCTGGGGGAGGAAAACTATGAGAGCAAGAGAGAGGTCCTCTTTAAATTGCTTGTTTTAGGCTCCAATCACATTTGTGCAAAGTTGCACAGTTTACACTCTCTTACACTAAGTCACTTCAAACTCACTGCAACTTTAAAGTGGAACTTCACTGCATCTGAGCACCAAAAATGCTGTTTAATTCATTTTTAATATTCAAAGCAAACTCCACCATCCATCCATATCTCAATGCTTTACTTTGCTAATAAATCACTTTGAACCCCCCCCCCCAGCATTTCTGGCTGTGGCCATCTTGAGCAAGGGCAGATGATTCATGTAGCATTTACTTCCTGGAATCATCTGCCCTTTGCTCAGTCATGCAGACAGGAGGGTGTGCTTAGCTGCAAAAAAACCCTCGTCAAATCTCCTGGGTTGTATGCCATCATTTGCCTAGGCATGGAAACCAGGAAGTAACTGAAGAAATGGAAAAAGTTTAAACAAGTAAAGTAGGTCATATTTACTTATCTATTTTACTAATGCTAGCAGCATAAGGATTAAAAATAAAGTTGAATTCTCCCCCCTCAGTCAACACTAAGTCACACTGATCCAAATGGGTGCTATTGAAAACATTGGGCTGCAATTTATCATGCAACTTTGTGTCCAACTTTGTGACAAGTTGCACAAATGTGAATGGAGCCTCATTTGCTTAGGGGCAGAGACATGTTGTTTTTGTATATCCCCACAGGGGAAACTCGCTTTGTCTACTTTTTAGTTTCTTCAGCATTATCAGAAGGAACAAAACAGCTGGTTACACTCAGGCCTTATTAACACAATACCATACGCCCATGCAGGGCTGTGTGTACCCACATGGGGATTAACAGGGGTTCCATGCATCCACGTGCTGGCAGTCTCATTGATTTCTATTGGAACACAGCTGCTGTATCCCAGCATGATATCCATGTGGGTGCAGGTGCGTGTCCCCGGACACTGATATTGTGAGTTCAAGGACCCGCATCTGCACCCACATGGATTATATTGGGACACCGTGTCCCCATAGACATTAATGGGACCGCTTGTACAGGGATGCAAAGAACATCTCTGCATCCCCATGCAGGTAAACATGGCCCTGCATGGGCATACTATATTGAACGCCCCATGTGAACAAGGTCTTAGGTGTCTGTCCCCCGCTGCCTCTAAGATGAAGAACTGAGTGATCGAAGATGACTGATCTCTCTGTTCTTGTCTTCAGTGAGCAGAGTTGGTGACTGTAAGTTGCTGGCTCTTTGCTCTGCCCCTCCAGCATTCTCTGGAGCGCTGGGCCTTGTAGGAGGCGGGAACACCTGGCTTAGGCTTGCAGTGGCATATCGAAGATGACTGATCTCTCTGTTCTTGTCTTCAGTGAGCAGAGTCGGTGACTGTAAGTTGCTGGCTCTTTGCTCTGCCCCTCCAGCATTCTCTGGAGCGCTGGGCCTTGTAGGGGGCGGCAACACCTGGCTTAAGCTTGCAGCGGCATTCCATTACATCCAGTGGAGTCCAGAGGAGAAATGCAGGGTCTTTTTGACCCTGCATGTCTCATTATAGAGAACCTGTCACCTAAAAATCATCACCTAGGGGACTTTGTGACCCCATGTGATGGGAACAAAAAAAGTAAAACAAATTTTTTTTCATTGCAAAAAAAAAAAAATAAAGTTAAACCCAAGCACATAACATCCCTCCCACCCCGACATATATGCACATATGAATGTTGAGGCACACATCGGGGTCGCCTACGTGTGAAAACATTGATTGCAATACACGTTGCATATCGCCGCGCACACCAGAGTGAGAGCAATAATTCTAGCACAAAACCTCCATAACACTGATGACCTGTAGGGGCTTTTGAAGCGTCGCCTATAGAAAATATAGAGTACTGAAGTTTGTCGCCGTTTAACAGACACGCACAAATTTAATGTTTGACATGTTCAGTATCTATTTACTCGGCACACGCATCTTTTATATTTTACCAAAAATGTGGTTAATTCATTGCATTTGTTTGCCCTAAAATTCACTTTAGAACTACCACTGTTTTATTCTTTGGGATGTCTGCTTTCAGAAAATATATCACGTTTGGGGGTTTTGTGTAATCTTCAGGCCTAAAATTATTTTTTTAAACGTATGTAAAAATGGTTCTGGCAGTGAAAGGGTTAAAGTAGATTCAACAAACACAGAAGTTGCTCTTAGAGCAACTGAAAGAGCTTTTATACTTGTAAACATCTTTTTAGCAATGAGTGTAATTAATATTTGAATTGTTTTGTAGGCGAAATAGAAGATTTACTCAGAAGTAACGCTGATGTGATTCTAAACTGTATTGCTGATGACTTACGAAGCAGTCTGCCACTGGAAGCCATGGTTGGATCAGAGAACCAAGTGATAGACATTGTGAGAATTTGTCATTCAGATCATCTTTATTTGAAAAGGCAGAGATTAGTATATCATTACAACCAAACAGAAATTCTCTGCTTTTTATTATTGTTACTGTATCTGGTTTGCTATTGTGTGTAACTACAGATCACATAGGAGGACAATGTTATTGGTATGCATGCATTCATTTAATGTTTACTAGCCAAGACTTGATTCCAAATTCTGCTCTATTTATCTGCTATTTGTAATACAGGTGCACCTTGATTTACGAATTTAATGTGTTCTGCGGGACTTTTCGTATTGCAAAAAATTCGTAAACCTAAACGCGGTTTCCCATAGGAATGCATTGAAAACCAATTTGTTCCGGAGGTCAGAAAAAAGTAAAAAAAAAAAAGTCTTATCTGTTCAAAACTCTTTATAAATGCACTTTAAAGGCATAGTACCGTACAGTGACATGATTAAAAAAAAAAAATTGTAAATCATTGAAAACCAATTAATCCGTTCGTATTGCGAAAAAATTTGTAAACATGGCATTATTTTCAGTGTACAAATATATGATGTGGCGCTAAGAGGGGGTCACATGAATTATCGTAGTGAAGTTCTTGCATTAGGAGAATAAGTCCTTAGGAAAAACCTATAGATGCAGCGTGACAATGGTGATGAGTACAGCATGAAGATGGTGACTTTCGTGGCTGTCGTGGCTTATAGAAAATGAATGTACATTGCACTAACCAGATAGCACAAGTAATAGTGCATTGTAGTAAATAAGACCTACTCCACGGTGCTCAGGATTTGGGAACTCTGTGTAAGGATGAAGTCAACAGGCAGGAATTAACCACCAGGTGTCATCTATCCAGGACAGGTTACCACTCTCCAATATCTCCACATCAGGCAGACCAGGTATAGCAGTATCCAGCAATATCTGTCTTGACAACCAGAGGGATCTCACAAGCAGGCATGGCTCCGAGATGACAGAGCACCTTAGGGGAAGGGGGCTCAAAAATGCCAATAATGAGCCCAAAAGAAAAATTGCTCCAATAGTATAGTATTTAATTCATATGTGTGAAGTATTAGCAGAAAAAATTAACATATAAAACATACCCTTAGGGAGTTGCCCTTAATCACCAGTCCCCTACCACATGGCCTTATGTAAACCTAAGCAGCCATATTGGACGTTTTGCATGTAAGTGTATGTTTTATGTTAATTTTTTCTGCTAATACTTCATACATATGAATTAAATACTAGACTATTGGAGCAATTTTTCTTTTGGGCTCATTATTGGCATTTTTGAGCCCCCTTCCCCTAAGGTGCTCTGTCATCTCGGAGCCATGCCTGCTTGTGAGATCCCTCTGGTTGTCAAGACAGATATTGCTGGATACTGCTATATACCTGGTCTGCCTGATGTGGAGATATTGGAGAGTGGTAACCTGTCCTGGATAGATGACACCGGTGGTTAATTCCTGCCTGTTGACTTCATCCTTACACAGAGTTCCCAAATCCTGAGCACCGTGGAGTAGGTCTTATTTACTACAATGCACTATTACTTGTGCAATGTACATTCATTTTCTATAAGCCAAGAAAGTCACTATCTTCATGCTGTACTCATCACCATTGTCACGCTGCACCTATAGGTTTTTCCTAAGGACTTATTCTCCTAATGCAAGAACTTCACTACGATAATTCATGTGACCCCCTCTTAGCGCTGCATCATATATTTGTTTATTTGGTTTTCATATTGGAGGTATTTGAGTTTTCCTCTGGATGTTGGCTGCTTTTTACCATATTACTCAGCGCTCATATATTTTGAAGATTATTATTTTCAATGTATTTTCATTCGTAAACTGAAAATCACATTAACCGAGGCATTTGTAAACCGAGGTATGCCTGTATGGGTAATTTTAATGACCGTATCCATCCATCTCTTCTCTTACCTTACATGCATTACTTATCTACTGTGTTTATTACAGATTCAGAGTCTTCAGAGGCCAACCCTTCACGTAGATGCTTTCCTTTATGATGATGATACTGTTGATGCATTATGCGAGGAGGGGAAGATGAGTCGTAATTACTGTATGTCATGTGGATCTAGAAAAACGGCTCCTATAGGTGAGCCCTACACTGATCACATAGTCAAGGGGCACTATTTCCTCCAAGAATGTTTTATAATCCCACTAAAAGTATGACCTAATCAAAGACGGTAAATAAAACGAAACCAGTGCTCACACAAAGGCATAAAATTCTTTACAATCCCAGAAGCATAAGTTATAAATCCAATTCTGTTTGTAATAATGCATGCACATGAGTGTAAAAACGATAACCACTGCAAGTTACAAATGTATCTGAAATAAGGCTACATCCATCTAGCACCGATGCAGATGATACCCGCAGGAATGTGCTGATTTTTGCAGCTATATTTGGCTACCCGTGGCTGATCGCCGTCACATTTTGTGTGCATCCAGCAGCAACCCCTGAAGGTAATCGCTGGCCCTGCGAACTGCCACAGATAGCTGTGGCCGCTGCTGATCCTTCATTAACATGTACAGGCTTGGTAGCTGCAGCTAGCTGCTTACAGGTGCTAAAAACAGCTGTAGGACTTTGTCATTTGCATCGGTACTAGTCATCCATGCCAGGGTTTCTCAACCTTTTTCCAGTCGGGGCGCCCTTGAAAAGTATTTTCAGACACGAGGCACCCCTGTCCAGGTTTTGGTTCACGTTACTGTGTGTCACAGAATGCACGCAAACTTGCGCTCATTCCTGACACACAGACAAATGCTCTGCTCTTTAGGGTTACCCCATACATTGGCAAACACGACGTGCTTTTGGTGTGGTGTAATTTTAAAACTAAGGTCAGGGATGACTTTCCCTGCATTTCTGCGGGTAAGGCAGTCCATTGAAATAAATGGGCCGCCCTACACACAGCCACACAGATGTGAACCAAGGGCCTGTTCACCTGTGAGGTTGGAGGGCGGTAAAACCGTGCAATTGAGTTGCTTTTACCACCCTCAACTGCTCCCCTTTTAGCTGCAGAAACAGCAGCTGGTGGTAAACACACACTGTTGCCGCAGCTGAAAGTATACATCCAGGTGAATGGAGTTGAACTACAGTCACCCCGCAAGTGTGTGCACGCAGTTGTGATGTGGTGATTGATGCTGGGGTTAAACCAGGTGGTGAGGAGGCAACATATTGCCTCTTTACCACCTGTCAAATGCCTCTGAAAAGTGATCTGAGCATGGATTGCTTTTCAGAGGATCAGCAATCCTTGCTGCTATTACGAAAAAGTCCTAAAAAAAGCAGTTTTGATAGAGGACTAGGGGGTCGAGATTAAAAGTAAAATACATATAAAAACAAACACACACATACACACACACGTACGTACACACATACATGTGTACATACACATGTACACACATACACATATGTACACACACACAGGCACATGTGTACGGCATTATGAAAAGTTACAGTAATTTATAGCTTCCATCACACAGCCAGGTACTGCACTCTAGGGGAAAGCAGAGAACACAGAAGACACTCCCTCTCCCTTTGCTTTCACTTTGCTCAGTGGTCTGACAGCTCCCAGTGCCGACGTACATTGCGGCTGGGGATCGGGAGCTTGGGCTGAAGTGACAGCCATTCTCCCCACGGCACCCCTGAAGACCTCTGGCGGCATCCCGGTTGAGAAAGGCTTGTCCATGCGAATGTAGCTAATGTAAGAAACTCACCCACTATTCATTTCTTGATTTAAGATTAATAGTATCCATTATTTACCGCCGCAGTTTGGAAACCACTGATTGAGGAGAAAGCAATTGCAAAGAAGAGATCTGTCATTGATTAAAAATATCAAATGATGCAACACACAATATTGTTCTGCGCTTTACGATCAAACTAAAATATGAGAATTGAGCAGTCAGGAGTGATAATCAAAATACTGCTGCGGTTGATTGACTTGGCGGAGTTTCAATCTATTGAATGGAGGGTCTCAGGTTTGCAACTCCTTATTTAGTTTGATCAGTTTAGTCACAATGAATGATCGTGTGTGTGTCTACCATCAGAGTGTGTAGCCTGAGGCATGGCTTCTATTTCACTGTAGGACCTGGCATTATAAGCAATATATGATAAAACTATCATCACATATGTTTGATTTATTTCTTTCTGGTACATATATACGCCATCGATTTATGCTTTGCTTTACATATGTAGTATACATTAACATCAATCCCTGCCCTAAAAGAGCTTACAATCTATGGTTCCTAACTCACATTCATACATGTGAAGATCATCCGCAGCCAATGCCTTATTTTTCTAGCTTTGGGAATCCAAGGAAATGGTTAGAGCTTGTTAGGTTTTAAATGCAGTGTATATTATAGGATTTTTCTATGATATTTATTTATTTTTTTTTCATTTAGTGCTGTCTATGCCCCATGAAGAAAATTGACCTAAATCATTATACAACAGATTCCCTTTATCGATCACAGTCATTTGTCATTCACAGTGGGATATAGCCTGACTGATGGGGTTATACAATATGTCCTAGCTATATTGAGGGTTGTTCCCCCTTATGGGCTGTACCCCAGCACATTTTAGAGACAATGGAGATAAGCCTTGACTACTGTGTTGCTTAATTCAGCTTTGTTGTGTAACTGTAGGTTCGTAGCAAAACCTAAATCTTGTTGACCTCAAGATTTGGAAAAGTCCTGGATTTGGACTTTTTTAGCGAAGATCATGATGAATGCCAAGCATGCTCCAGCAAATTGCAGAACTTTAGGATTTCACTGGCTAATGTAGTCTTTGTTTTTATATTTACAGACTTTATTTCACATTCTTTTTCTTTGGTGGAACTCAAGTTTCTGTTCCAGCAAATGTTGCCTGATCTGAGTGGGAAAACACTTAGTAGATGTGGGTTCCAGGCTTGGAGCTGTTCTGTATGCGGTAAAACATAGTTACATATATTTTTTAGCATGATATGGCAGTGATTGCAAATTTGCTTTGAACCTTGGAGCCAGCTAAAAAAAGGTTAGGAGCCAGTGTGTTTTGGTTTTTTTTTTTTTTTTTTTTTTCACACGATACTATTTGTAGTACAATAATCATGGCAAAACCACACCATTGAAAATAATAGCACCTGAACCTACGTTTTGCAATCACCGCGATTCTGCCGCACTTCCAAAAACATCCAGGTGTGAAAGGAGCTGCCCTGGTTCACACACATGCAATTCCGAGTGCATTTTCAAACTGCGATTCGCATGACAGGTTACATATGTGTTCCTATTGAGGTGGTTCACACAGATGCGATCCACATGTATTGTGTTTTTGAGTGCCATTATGCAAAGGGTCCTGTGTGAGTTTGTAGCTGTGCATTCCAAACTTTCAAGTGATAGCGTATAGTGACATGCGGAGATAAGTGTTCACATATGATTGCTATTAAGAGCCGTTTTTGCATTTTAGTCAATGGGAGGCATTTTTGCATTGAAGTCAGGAGGAGGCAGTGTGTGAACCGAGGCGCACCGATGCACTGCAATTATCCCATGTCCCAAGTGCACCTGTGCTTTGCCATAGACTTCTATTACATCTTGTGGGTGTGTTGCACTTTCTGAACATGCACTAAAACTCCTGCATTCAGGAGTTTTGGTGTGCTTTCAAAAAGTGCATCAAACCCACTATATATTATAGAAGTCTATGGCTCAGTGCAGCTAACCCGCAGGAAAGCTGCAGGTGCACTGCATTGCACCTGCTGATCAGTGTGAAAGCAGCCTAATAGTTGTTAACCCTTTTTATAGGTGCTAGCATGCCCATTGTAAAATCTATTATGCCCACTGTATGTGTTGTGGACAGGGGCGGACTTACCATTTGGAAACTCGGGCACTGCCTGAGGGCCCGGGGTCAATAGGGGGCCCCATGAGATGCCTCTGGTACCTTTTTCTTAGGCTTTTTTGAGTTTGGGCAAGGACACGGGCCCCATGATCCCCTATTGCCTGGGGGCCCCATGAGTTGTCAGTCTGCCCCTGGTTGTGGAATACACTGGCCTACATCGCACTTGGGCAGCTAGAAAGGATTAGGCGTACACTTGGTATCACTCTGCCTGGGATAGGAGCCGGCACTACAGAGGAAGCATCGGCTTATGTGGCTCCTGCTTCCTCCACAGCTGCCTGCTCCCGGTGCTGGCTGACTGCACTCTTATGCTCTGGGATGGCAGGCCAGCAAGCCCAGATCTAGATCAATGGGTTGCCAACCCCGGGCATGCGTTTCCCTGGTTTGAAATCGAGGGTCACAGATTGAGCACCCCTGACTTAGCACCTTCTGGCTACCCTGTTGGAATCATAGGTAAGTGAGGACTTCACAAAGCTTGCATGCCATTGGGTGGTGATCACTGTTCTATTTACGCAGCACTTTCATGATGGGCAGAGTCTCTTTTTGTCTTGTGCCTTTTTACTAAGAAAAGCCTTCAAGACATTTGTTGTATATAAGAACATACATCTCCATCGCTACTCTCCTACTACAGTGCGTGAATGTATACTTTACTTGCACAAGAGCAACATGATATTGATTTCAAGTCTAGAGTTGCTATATTTCCTATGGCTGATCAAGGCAGTCTTAGCAGACATAATAATTGAGCTGTGAGTTTGTTTCTTTTGTATTGGGCCAATAGAGTATTTCAAGTGGTATTAAACCCCAAACCAAAAATGTAATATATTGCAGTTTACCAGTTCTTAAATGCTTTAGCTGCATTAGTTTTCTTTTTGTAGGCTTTTTCCCTCAGTTTTCACCTGGTGATCTACCCAGTAACACACCTCCTGTATTAGAGTGCCTCCACTATGAATGAAGGAGAACAGGGGCACCTTTGAAAAGCAGCAATGTCTGGGGGAAGGGAGTGTTTTTTAGATTTACAAGCAGATTTAGATACACTAACAAATTTAAGCCAAACTCAAGCTCACACTACAGTTATACAGGCAGGCTCAGCAACTTTTTTTTTTTTTTTTTTTTTCATTTTTTTCTTCTTTTCGGATAAAGGTTTTACATGAATAAGTAAAAGCTGACCATTGTAAACACCCCTGTCTGTGCTAAATGGTTTGTCCTAACGCTATTGCTGCTACATTTGCAGGAGAGCTTGTTCTGTTTAAAAACAACAGACTTACTGGCTGGATCACCGGATGAAAATACAAGAAAGGCTAAAAAAAGAACCCTAATGCAGCCTCCACTTTTAAGAATTGGTAAGCTGCAGTATAATACATATTTGTTTTTGTGTAATACTGCTTTAAAAGAGGCCAGTTTTAATATTCCGAACCAGAATTATCCACCTTTTTAGGTAATTGTACATGGCTGTAGAATGAATTCTTCATACATAATAATTCAGCTCTTTTACTAAATATGAATTGGGCAGCTTAGGAAACTCTAGGAAAACTGAACTATGTTTGTTTGGATTTAAAAGTTCAGTATTAGAGATGTATAAAACCTGTATTCTATTGTCTTTTTTGGCTTTAATATAGGGTTGTGTTTACAGTTCAGCCAGTAAATTACAAGGTGTGGAAATCAATGCAGAATTCTGCCAGTTACAAGAAAAGATCATAAAGAAGTATGACTTCACAGACAGAATTCAGGTATAGCATGTTATGTTTTGTGTACAATTTGGAGATTTATAGAACTTAAAGCTTAATAAAGAGCTTTATTCTATGCATGAAGGCAAAAAAGCTTCAGTGTGCAGCTCCCCATTCCAGACATGGAGCGGAACACATTTCGGCCTACATTTATGAAGAAATTTAGATTTTTTTTTTTTAATTGATGTAAATTGTTTTTTAAATAATGTTTTGGTCTTTTTTGGTTTGTATAATAAAAAATTAAAAAAAAACCCAGTGGTGATCAAATGTAATGTACATTCACTGTGAAAATACTGTCTGTTCTTTTTTTATTGTGTGATTTAAAGTGGTTGTAATGGTTGAAGGTTTACCTTCATGCATTCTATGCATGAAGGCAAAAAACGTGTGTGCTGTATCTCCCCCTAATACTCCCCTAATCCCCCTCTTGATCCAGCGATGTGCACTGGAGTTTCAGCTATTCTGGGACTCCCTCTTCTCATTGGCTGAGACAGCAGTGGTAGCCAAAGAGAGGGCGGGGCCGAGCTGCAGTTACATGTGTGAATTGATACATGGAGCAGAGGGTACCCCCATAGCAAGCTGCGTGCTGTGAAGGCACCCAACAGGAGGGAGGGGCTGTTCTGTGCAAAACCATTGCACACAGCAGGAAGTATAGACCTGTTTTGTTTTTTTGTTTGTTTTTTTTAATTATGCCTTTTTAGAATCACTTATAATTTATTACAATAAAAAGTTTTACCTTTTTTTAAAACAAAATAGGGGAATGGCAAGTCTGCTTCAGGGTGGTTAGCAAAATATGTGGGGATCAGAAATAAAACATTCTCCAAGATCCAGTTTCTAGTCTCTGTTGCAATTGGGATTGTGTAGCAGAATTGTGTTTTTAGCTACCAGATCCTCACAAATAACAGTAATGTATTTCCTGTGGTGTGTAGAAGAGTGTCTGTGCAATATTTCAGTCCTGGTTATCAATTATTTTGTATTTCCTCACAGGTTTACCATTCAGATATTTGCTGTCAGCCATCCTTACTGCACCACGCTGATGTTGTAGTTCTACATAATGTTTTTGAATACTTCCTGGACAAAGAGAAGCAAATAAAGTAATGTATATCTTTGATTCATGCTAAGTGCTGGCAGTGGATAAGATTCAAGAATACTTAGTCAGACCTGGGCAAATTGTTGATCCCAGGCCACATCTGGTTCTTTGGCTGCCCCTATCCAGCCCTTGATGCCTCCACTGTCAGCATGCCTTTCTGAGCCTGTCGGCTTCCTCACCGGGAAGCTGACAGGCTCCTAGAAGCTCAATGACAGATGTCCATATGGAGAGCTGCAAGAAGTGGACTGAGAGAGCCTGAGGAGCTGATCAGTACAGCAGTGAGGTTTGGTTCTGGCAGGAGAGTGTTGGCTAGGAGAGGTCCCAATACTCTCCTGCCAATCTTTTACCTGGTCAGGTTCTTCCTGTGTTAGCGCCTGCATGCTGTAAAACCCAAGGAGTTGTGCAACTGTTTTTGACTCCAGGTCAAGATCAGCAGAAATCCCCACTCTACTGATCTCAGGCTCTCTTCTTCCAGTCACAGTGCTTTTGACAGTCAGAGGGCATGGTGACAGGAGTTTAGGAGATGTTATATCGCCTCCTCACTGCCTGATTTAACCCTATAATGCCACATTACAGTACTGCAATTGCGTGCATTGCATGTGGTTGTTAAGCAGCCCTATTGAACGAAGTGGTCGAGTTTGACCAGCGGTGCTGCTTGTCAAACTCTGCACCCAGAATTAAAACTGCAGCCGCAAAGCATTGTGACCATGGCATGTGAACTGCCACATCTGCCATGTTATGGCAGCTCAGATGCTCCTCTTTTCCACTCCCTGACCGCCTGTCTGAAACAAACCTATTTAATGAGCAGTTGTACATATATTTGCTAGCACCGGGTGTCTGTTTTTTTTTTTTTTATAGGTTTATGTCTTTATGGACCTTCCCAGGTAAAGCATTATATTGGGCAAAATTTAGTTTGGCCCTCCACAACATTCTTAGATTCTCATGCGGCCCCTTTGGGAAAATGAATTGCCAAGCCCTGGGGATCTAACATGACGTGATATGTTTTCATGTTGAATGCATGCATAACAGTACTGTGCAAGTAATGTGTAACACTTCCAGGTACTACCCCCGACAATGGCTTCATTCACTTTTTTCATCATCATCAGAAAGATGATGCTATTTTTTGTTCAGGCATCAGCCAGAAGCAGAATCTATTTCATGGATTAAGCTGTCACCCCTGAAATAACACAATCACATATATCCTAATGTCTGTGATTGTTCACAAATGTCAAAGTCTCGGTTCACACTACTGCGACCTGAAAGAGCAACTTTGCTAGACTACTTCCTAGTGACTTGAATACAACTTTCAGCCTGGGTAATCTTCCTCTGTCAGATCCAAATCACATCACTATAGATGAGGATCCAACTTGGAGGCGACTTCCATTAAAGTCTATGGGCACAAGTCGGATAGAAGTCACCTTGAAGTAGTACAGGAACACCTTCTAAAGTCGCAGCGACTTGAGTAGTGCTAATTAAAACCACTCTCATTGATTAACATGGGATTTCACATGTCATGCGACTTAGGGTCTCACAAGTTGGATCCCATATCGCAGTAGTGTGAACCGAACCTAACACGCATCAGCTAACTACTTTAGCCTCACACTGTGATTTGCTTTAATGTTGCAATTAGATCACTAAGGGAGAGGAGAAATGCTTCCTTTTGCCTGCAGCAGACTGATGTCATCATTTCAGCCTAGACAAAATCACTTGGCTGGAGCTGAAGAACTGTTTTGATTGATAAAAGATGCATGTTCTTTAAAAAATTAAATTGTTGCTGTATTTTGTGCCATGTCAGGAACATATTCATGCAAACTTGCAAAGTCACTGAAAGGTCCAACTTCATGTCTAAACAAAGGGGGTCTGCCTTTAATATCACTATGACACACCTAGAGCAGTTAACTATGAAAACCTGTGGTACCAAAGGTAAAACTGTCCAGGCGATGTAATGCCTTCAGTCTTGGTCATTTATAATATAAAAAACAAGTGCAGCGCTCTACTATGTATAAAGTGCAGATAATATACAATAAACTGTATTAATAAATCGTCCTGAATAGAAACAGCAATGTAATACCTTAATAGGAGGATGCTCCAAGTGATGTTATATATCTCAAGTGACGTCCAGCTGCTATGGCATCACCCCTTATGAGGACGTATTCGCATACGAAACGCATCAAGAAGGAGCCCCTGCACGCCGTAACGTCAAGCTGCCGGATCATGGAGGTCCGGTGGCCATCTTTCCACTCCAGCTGGTCAGTGTATCTAGCAGCTTGGTCACTGCTTTATTTGTATTCATTTTACTAATGTATGTGAAATACTTTACCTTCATCAATAAATATGGTTACATACTACACTATGGGCATCCATTTTTGTTGCTCTGTACCGAGCAATTAAATCCATCCAGGATCCCAGGTATTCTACCAGGACCAGAGGGGGGAACCTGTTCTGACCAGATCCTACCACAGCATATCCATTTGAGGGCATGGTTGAGTGACATCTCTAGTACCCACACCTGTAGAGGAGAGGATCCAGTCCCAGGCTGTACCTTAAAAGGAACCTCCGTTTTCTGGCATATTTGACCCATGCGCATTAAGATTGCGCTTCCGGTGAGTGGGCATTCTTTCCATTGGTCGCACATTTTGATGCACATTGGGATATAGATATCTGTCTATCAACATCAGGGTGGATTGTCACTGTCACTCGAGATATATAACATCACTTGGAGCATCCTCCTATTAAGATATTACATTGCTGTTTCTATTCAGGACGATTTATTAATACAGTTTATTGTATATTATCTGCACTTTATACATAGTAGAGCGCTGCACTTGTTTTTTATATTGTCTGTTTTGTAAAGGTTTGTGGTTCCTTTTCAGTGCAATAGCCGCTACCGTAAGCGCTCGCTTGATTATTTATTGTTCTTACTTGGTCATTTATATGTTACTGTATATTTGTGAATGTGTTTTGGTATTTTTAAATATTCAATTATATTTTAGAGCCTGGATATTTGTAATAGAAAATGTAAGGAAGACAGGAAGCCTCATAGTTGCCGTGCCAAGCATAGAGGAATCATTAGACAAACTTCAGGTCAGTATTTTTACCCACTCAATTTTTTTAATCAATCAACCATAACAGGACAGTAATTTGCAGTAGAGAAAACCATGCACAATTTTTTCAGTCAACCTCTACAGTCCAAATATTGTGTCCTTGATAACCCAATTCATACTTCTAAAATCCTAGAATCAGGTGTTCCTTGTAAGAACTACATGGAATAATGGGGGCAACAAAGATGAAAGTTTGGCACTGGAGTCAAGAGAGGCTGCTGGCAGTCGGAGAATTTTAGGGAAAAAAATCCAGTTCAGCTGAATAAGCTTCAATGTATGGTTGCCACACAAGCAATTTTTCAGTTTTATGTTACTAAAATGACCTTTCCATTTCTATCTGCAGCCACTGCGTGTCTCTCTAAAAGTGTCAGATTAAAGTTTTGCTTCTTTGCAGCTTGGCAAACTGGAGACATTCTGTACAGTGTATTTGTATAAAACTCCCCAGAAATCCTATTACCTGTTTGTTCAACTGCTTATTGCTCAGTGCAAACTTCTGAGAAATTTAAAAAGTCAAATGTGTTCTAAGGCAGCTAAAGGAATGCAAATGATACATCTTTTCTTATGACAGCACTGAGACTGCTCAAATTGTGATATTGAAGGCACAGCCTCTCGCACAATTTCAGAAAGTTAATTTCTGGTGAGATACATGCTATGGCTCATTCAGACCTAAAAGAATGCAGACTCGGTGGCTTTTCAAAAACTAAGATGCATGCACAGGAGTGACATAATCTCTGCCCAACCAATCAAATTGATGGCAGATCAGGAAGCTAGAAGAGAACCAGTCAAAATGTCAGTGGTCAGGGAAGGAGCTGCAGAACACTGCAAAGCTGGCCTTGAGGTGAGCATAATATAGGCTTGTTACCAGCATTTACAAGCCTGTTGTGTGTTTTTTGTTGTAGTAGTTGTAAAGGCTCATTCGATGCATGAAGGTAAAAAAACCTTCTTTGTGCAGCATCCCAGCCTCCCCTAATACTCAAGCCCTCTCTTGATGCAGCGATGTGCACTGGAGTCTCAGCTATCCCGGGACTCCCTCTCCTCATTGTCTGAGACAGCAGCAGGAGCCATTGGCCAATCACAGCCAGTGAGCCAATGAGAAGAGAGAAGATGTAGGGTCAAGTCGTGGCTCCATGTGTGAGTGGACACACTGAGCAGCAACTGGGAGTGCATATGCTCAGGTACCCCCATAGCAAGCTGCTTGTTATGAGGGCAACCAACAGGAGGGAGGGGCCAGGAGCACCGACGGGAGACCCGAGAAGAGGAGGATTTGGGCTGCTCTGTTCAAAACCAATTCACACAGCAGGCAAGTATAGACTGTTTTTTTTTTTTTTTTTTTTTTTTTTTTTTATGTAAGCCTTTAGAATTACTTTAAATTCTATTCCTTCTAGCAATAGTGTGCATCATGGGAAGCCATTTTCGGCAAGGTGCTTTAAAATGGTTTAAAGTGCTGTTGGTTAAACCATGGCTAGGTGCAAGAATCTCCATCAATGTGGTTCCGCTTTAAATATTTGCTGCTGCCTGGCCCAAAGAATAAAGACTTTCCTGTTGCAAGAGGGCAAGAAGCTCAAGTATTCAGTTTTAGACCTATTCCAGTATTAAACACAAGGCACATTTGACTTTTCTAATGGAAAGTAGTTTTTCCAGCATGCTTTCATGATGAAATAAAGAAAATAGTTCCTTTGCTGTAAATATACTTTTTTTTTTTTTTTTTTTTCCATGGTAGGCTTACAAAAATGCTTCTTTTCTCCAGATGGATATACAACTCGATAAGTGGGTGGAAAAAGTCAAGCTTAATCCAGAAATCTACCTTGGGACAGAGACTGATGAAGAGACTATTCGTCAAATCCATTTGTACAAAGTGCTGTAGAAGGATCCACAATGCGTTTCTTACATTTGCACTTAGCCTGGCGATGAAGAATCTTTTATTGATTTTTGGAAGCATCCAGGCCATGTGATTGTCAGGCTCTGCCCGAAGTAGTATCTCATCAGATACAGTAGTAAACAACTAAAGCTATTTTTTTTTATAGGTTTGATACCTAGCTATATATTTTATTTTATGTATTGGACTTGCTAATACTTTTTAAAACAGATGATAAAAAGAGACTTTTAATTTCTGGAGCACTGAAAACACCTCAGCATCTAAGATGTACTTGGTTATTAGATTTTCATGAGGCCAATTTCAGTTTCAGTTTAGAACACAAGGACTTTTTGGGATACATTCACACGATTGTTTTCATATGTTTAAAAAACACATGAAAAAATAGCATTATTCTAAAGGGAAAATTCTAATTTTCACCTTTTAGGATCCATTGAGGCCTCTTTTACAAGAGGGGGGGGGGGGGGGGGCAGGGGATGGTAAAAACAGATGGTTTAGTTAATGTTTTTATCGCCCCACGACTGCCCTCCTAAAACCTAACACTAACATACAGCCAGAGCGAGCTGTACACATGCCATGTTCCAGATGCAAAATAACACAAACATGTCAATGGGGCTGCACCACAACTGAGTCAAATGCTTGGCTCGCAATTGCAGTGCATTACTTCCACTCAAAATCGATCTTGAGCAAAGAAACAAAAGCAAAAAATGGCATTCTGGAGGCAAGATCCTGAATGCCTGGAAGTCACTGCTTAGCTGCCCCCTGAAAAATTATACACTACAGATCGCTTTTTCAGAGACTGCTGCAGTGTGCCCTACACTGGTGGGTTAAAATAATGCATGTTAAACGTGTGTTCACAGGATCTGTAAATGAAAATAATGCAAATTTCATCTGCCACTGCAGATGCACAGATCACAATAAATCAGAAGTGCTGTTAAGTCAGTGCACTTGTAGTGCATTGTTTATCTCATCCAACCCCATACCTCTCTATGGACCTGAGATTGGGGGAATGGTGACTGTTTTGTAAATACCTGATGACCTGCACAAAACAGGCTGAGATGAAAAAAAAAATACTTATATGTACTTGCCCCAAGGTTCTTCACCACTAGCATCATTTTCAGACACATGCCCTATTCCCATTTCGGTATCTCTGAAGTTTTGTTTATTTCACGAAGGCCTCTTTTACACAGGTGACAGTCTCTACGGCCCTTTGAAAAACAATCCACAGTGGATCACTTTTCAGAGAGAGGTAGAGCAGTGGCTCTTAGGTGTCCAGTATCCTGAATGCGTGCTTTTTTATTTTAATTTTTTTTGCCTTTCTACTTTTCAGTTTAAAGGGGAATTTTGTATTAAAATACTGTGTTGCAACCACATGTTCACGTGAACCTCAAAGGGGTGTGTTTGACAGGTGGTTCCACCTGTTAACTCGGCAAGCTAAGTTAAATTAGCCAAAGCATTGCTGCTGTAGCATGTGTACTGATCCTTTCAACTGCCATGTCCTCTTGGAGGTGAGCTGTTGGGAGGGATCTATTGCATGTATTTACCACCCCCTGACAACCTGTGTGAAAGAGGTCTAAAGAATTTAAGGACTTTATGATTTTTGTTTTTCTGATAAAGGTCTTTGCTTTATGTTTTTATGCCTTGTGGATTTGATTTGTGCATTGCTTTTAAGGGCCCATTCACACAGATGCGTCCGGGTCATGCATGGTAAGTAGCGCATTTTACCCCAGTGTATGTTAACACAAAATACAATTTGCATTGCTGTGTCATTATCTTAGCAGCTCAATGCACTTGTACAGGAGCTGCCAACACACCTGCAGTATGACCCAATGCACTTAGCATACATTGCCAGCCCAATCAGAATGATGAGCTGCTTGTATACAGTGTACCTTTATGCTTGTTAATGTAATGCAGTGTGTGCATTGGCCCAGCAAGTGCACTCAAATCTGTCTGCCCTCATGTTGTAAAGCACTGCACAGACTGTTTCGCTATATAAATTCTGTATAATAATAATTTTTAGCTCTATTAACATTAGGATTTATTTTCAATGTTTATGTATTACTTTTAAACTGACCACATAACAGTCTTAGAACAAATTAAAAAAGAAAAAAGAAAACCGTGTTTGTCAAAAAATTACTGTTTATATGGGGACCCCAAGTTGCTAACAGTCATGCAAATGTGGAAAAAGTAAAAACAAAAAAGGTATCACTAATGCGTGCCCATTTCCTTTCTCCTCATCTCTTGTAGTTCCTTAAAGTGGTTCTAAAGCTTCAAGTTTTTTTTACCTTTAATGCATTAAGGTAAAACCCCTTCTGTGTAACAGAATGGCCCCTGAACCCCAGTGCAATCCAGCACTGTGCATGAGAGCTGCGGCTTTCCTGGTTTTGTCCCTCGTCACTGGGCAGATCAAAAGCAGCAAGAGCCATTGGCTCCCACTCCTGTTCAATGAACTTCAGTGATGAGGGAGCAAGGAGCAGGGTCAAGTCATGCCATCTGTCAATGGATGCAGCAGCGGGACTCCAGAGCGAGCCTGCACGAGTGCTCCCATGGGCATCGGCTTCCCTTTTGTGGCACTAGCAAGAGGAGGAGCCAGGAGTGCTGGCAGAGGACTCAGGAAGAGGAGGATCAGGGCTGCTTTGTGCAGTTCTATTGCACAGAGCAGGTAAGTATAGACATGTTTTGTTATTTAGAAAAAAAAAGTTTTTCCTTACCACCAGAACATTGATGTAGCATCAGGGGTCACAATTGTGACCCTGCTCATGCTCCAGGGGGTCCCGCATTGTCTCCCCGTCACTGTGATGGGCAAAGCAGAATCCAGAGCAAAGCAAAAGCCCTGAGCTCTAAACTTTGGCTCCATTTTAAAGACCTGAGCCGGAGAGTAGCAGAGGAAGGACAAGGTGAGGACAGCCCTGCTGGACGGGAAAGTGTCAGTGCTGACAACCAAGCGGGGATGGACACCGGACTGAGCAAGGGAGAAGTAGGAGAGCACCATCCAGGAGCTGGTAGTGCTGTTATTTGGGGAGGTAAAAAAATAGATCGGTCACATCCGTGCAGAAAACAGATACAGAATACCCCACTACTTCCCGCAACTCTTGCTGACACTCGCTCAAAAACACCTCCTGAGGGGCCCCCGAGGGACTGCGGGCTCCAGATGCTGCAGATTTTACTGTGGCAGTTTGAGCAGAGGGGGAGCTGGATGGGGAATCTGTAATTTTCAGCATTGGGTGGGGGAATCATAATTCCCTGGGGGGGCATGTGTCGTTACTAGGAGGAGGGCTCCTGGAGGTGGGGGTCATCTGTCATTACCTGATGGGGAAGAGGGTCATCTGTCATTACCTGGTGGGGGAGAGGGGGGGGGTCATCTTTCATTACCTGGTGGGGGAGAGGGGGGTCATCTGCCATTACTTGGGGGGAGTATCTGTCATTACCTGGTGGGGGGGTCATCTGTCATTACTTGGTGGGGGGACGTGTCATTATCAGGAAGGGAAGTCATCTGTCTTTACAGGAGGAGGGGGTCATCTATGGTTAGTTGAAGTGGGGGGCTCTTTAAGGAGGGGTCATCTGTCAATACAAAGAGGAGGCAGGAGGGCATGTGTCATTACTAGAAAGGGGGGTGTTACTTTTCCCTAATATCCCGCACCTCCATATCACTGCAGCCCCGCCATGAGAGCGGTAACTGGGTGCTGTTTAATAACGTATTCAATAAAAAGGTGTGAGATCTGCAGTGGCACACTTTCTGATCAGCCCCTCTCCTGCCCCTGCTCAGCCCTCCACGTGCACACAAGCTGGGCACAGGTAAGCCACACTGCGAGCTCCTGTGTGAAAGCGGTGGGCTTGTATGTGGATCTGGAAGTAAGAGGGCCTGCTGAGTTTCCTCTTTTACATACAAACCTACCGATTTCACTCGACAGTTCAGAGTGTGCCTGCCCATAACCTTGTTATGCACGTGCAGGAGAGAAAGGAGAGAGACAGCCACCATACAGCTATTATATCTTGGCCCATGGTGGAAGGTAGTGGCGGAGCCCCAGGTCACCTTTTGCATCGGGGCCTGCAAGCTCCAAACTACATCTCTGCAATTTAAGGTGCTGCATGGTTCGATGTACCGCATGCTTTTGGCAGTCACATGTCCAGAAATAACCATCATTATTAAAAAATAACAGATGTGTGATATCTTAGTAAATTGAGCCTCGCATTATAGCCGAGTGTATCTGGATCATGAAGCCAGGTTCTGCTCCCTCGAACCAACAGGAGTTTTGTTTTCTCTGTATCGTATGTTGGTCTTAATTATGCAGCAATTGGGCGGAGGGGGCTGGAGGTTATAGGGGTTATAGGCACAGCATGGATACATTAACTCCCTGTGTCCTTAAATCTGGGTGCGTGCAGACAACAATTATTCTGGGTGTCTGGTTTAGGAGATCAATTAATTTGTGTATTAACAGCCCTTTCAGTTTCTGAAACTGGAGCAACATTTATAATAGGTTTTTGTACAGAGATCTAGACATCCTAATCCTAATCTGATCCTTCAATCCTAAAAAGCGGCATTAAAGACAGTGGGGTCCAGATATAGCAAGTAATGGGTTAACGCAGCTGCTGATACCCCAGCCCCTGATGTGATGAAGAAGACTTGCAGCTATTGTTCCTGCCTGGACCAAAGCCAAGGCTATGCACATCACAAACCGAATTCTGTTCTGCAAAACAATAGTAATATAAAGAGAAACTTCTGTCATGCTCTAGAGATGATTCTATGAGAACAAAGACTGGTGGTAGATAACAAAATAAAATGGATTTTACATACATAATAAATTCAGGGGAAAAATGTGAATGTCAAAAAAGGATCCTTATTTTTTTTGTTACATCTTTGCAAAATTCCCTAGAGTAGTGAAATATCTGAATTATATACTAGGATATTTGCTGAATGCACCACTTGTTTTGATACACAGTTCAGTATCTTTGTCACAGTTGAATAAATTGATGTAAGAGGTTTGCGTGTG